TTTCACACGAGATTGTTGTGGTGGATACAAGGTTCAAAAGTAAGTTCATTTCCAGGATTGCAATACCAGTACCAGCAGCACAGCCAGTCACACTAGCTCCTGCCTCAGTTGAATCCTCTACAGGGGCACCTGTTTGGTGAGGTCGGATACTTCTGGAATATTGCTCATATCAGTGTCAGATCCTATTCACTCACTCAACATCAGTGGTTCAGTGGAGTGAACATCTGACGTGAGGGTAGACCATTACATGTCTGAATCTTGGCTGTGTCACACCAGAATAGTTTAAAATATGGTCCTTGTTGTTACCCTGTCTGGGGCATGTGCAAACCCACATGTGCACATCATTATAAACAAGCGTAGTTCACCTCACCCCACCACTGTTATTGACGTATCTTGTGGTACGTTTCCAGCACAGCCAATGAACTCCCGCCCGAACGTCTTTGTGTCTGTGTTACAACCGTCTGCAGAACGCTGGAGGAAGGATGGGCTGCAGATGGAGCTCCACTACCGCTCCAGTCCAGTGGGCACCCAGTTCACTGTTCTCCTTAACAACATGAAGCTCATGTGCATCTTTGACTGGCTGCTCAGTGTGCAGGAGTTCCTGCTCACTGATGCTGAGAACCCTTTCAAAGAAGGTGAGTTCTTTATGTGATCAGAACTTGACTACTTTAGATTGAAGAGGTTTGGTTCATTAATTTCATGTATCCACCTGTCCCAACACCCCAAGTCACCACCCCACCCTACCTCACCTCATCACACCCACACCACCCTACCCCTCCCCACCCCACCTGACCCTACCTCACCTCATCACACCCACATCACCCTACCCTCCCCAACCCACCTGACCCTACTCTCACCTCATCACACCCACCCCACCCTACCCCCTCCCAATTCCCACCTGACCCTACTCTCACCTCATCACACCCACACCCACTCCTACCCTCCCCACCCCACCTGACCCTACTCTCACCTCATCACACCCACACCACCCTCCTACTCCTCCCCACCTCAGCTCTGGACCCTACTCTCACCTCATCACACCCACACCAATTCCTACTTCTCCCACCCCGGCCCTGACCCTACTCTCACCTTATCACACATCCACCCTACACCCCTACCCTCCCCACCCCACCTGACCCTACTCTCACCTCATCGTATTCACTCCCACCCTACCCTCTCCCCACCCCACCTGACCCTACTCTCACCTCATCACACCTAATCCACCCTACCCTCCCCACCCCACCTGACCCTACCCCTACTCCACCCTACCCTCCCCACCTCGCTTCTGACCCTACCTCACCTCATCACACCCACACCACTCCCTACCCTCCCCACCCCCTCATTTGACCCTACTCTCACCTCATCGCACTCCACACCACTCCTACTCCTCCTCCCCCACCCCACCTGACCCAACTCTCACCTCATCGCACTCCACACCACCCTACCCTCCCCACCCCACCTGACCCTACTCTCACCTCATCGCATTCTACCCTCTCCACACCCCACCTGACCCTACTCTCACCTCATCACACCCACCCCTAATTCCTACTCCTCCCCACCCCACCTGGGCTTCTACTCTCACATCATCGCATTCCACCCCTACCCTACCCCTCCCCACCCCACCTGACCCTACCTCACATCATCGCACCCACCCCACCCTACTACCCTCCCCACCCCACCTGACCCCTACCTCACATCATCACACCCACCCCACCCTACCCTCCCCACCCCACCTGACTCCTACTTCACCTCATCACACCAACACCATCCTACCCTCTCCCCACCCCACCTGACCCTACCTCACCTCATCACAGCCACACACCACCCTACCCCTCCCCACCCCACCTGACCCTACTTCACCTCATCACACCCACACCACCCTCCCTCCCCACCCCACCCCACCTGACCCCTACCTCACACCTCATCACACCCACACCCACCCTCCCCTCCCCACCCCACCTGACCCTACCTCACCTCATCACACCCACACCACCCTACCCTCCCCACCCCACCTGACCCTACCTCACCTCATCGCACTCCACACCACCCTACCTGTCCCCACCCCACCTGACCCTACCTCACCTCATCACACCCACACCACCCTACTCCCTCCCCACCCCACCTGACCCTACCTCACGCCATCACACCCACACCACCCTACCCTCCCCACCCCACCTGACCCTACTCTCACCTCATCACACCCCACACCACCCTACCCCTCCCCACCCCACCTGACCCTACCTCACCTCATCAGCACTCCACACCACTCCTACCCCTCCCCACATCACACCACCTGACCCTACTCACTCACCTCTCATTCTTGACTCCACACCACCCCATCCTATCTGAAACACTCACGCTAACCTAGTCATATTGTTTCAGAGCCACAGATGGAGGTTAAAGTGGAGACCCTGGGAGGGGTGAAGAAGAAAGGGATGAGTCGTACATCTAGCCCCCTCACTGTGTCATGGGGTATCATGACCAGGAGGGGGCCCTTCGTAGAGGAGGTGGGTAGCAGTGTTAAGAACTTAAATATTATACTGTATGGGTGAGTGAGTGAGTGAGTTTAGTTTTACGCCGCACTCAGCAATATTCCAGCTATATGGCAGCGGTCTGTAAATAATCGAGTCTGGACCAGACAATTCAGTGATCAACAGCATGAGCATCGATCTGCGCAACTGGGAACCGATGACATGTGTCAACCAAGATACTGTATGGATGACAACTTCTTTATTATATATGATGTGATGTTTTGGTATAGATTCTTGTACCATTGTCAAGCAAGAGTGTAGAGGTAACAGTGTATCGATATGTACTTGCTCCGTAAATCTACCTACATGAGGGGGTCCTTTGTAGAGGAGGTGGGTAACATCGTATCTGTATGTACTTGCTATGTAACCCTCCATACAAGAGGCGTCTCTTTGTAGAGGAGGTGGGTAACATCGTATTGGTATGTACTTGCTATGTAACCCAGCATACAAGAGGCGTCTCTTTGTAGAGGAGGTGGGTAACATCGTATCGGTATGTACTTGCTATGTAACCCTCCATACAAGAGGCGTCTCTTTGTAGAGGAGGTGGGTAACATCGTATCGGTATGTACTTGCTATGTAACCCTCCATACAAGAGGCGTCTCTTTGTAGAATGAGATGGGTAGCATTTTGTCAACACTGTACAACACAGGTTGTCTGTTGTACTTGCTCCATAACCCTTCATATGAGAGGGGACTTTGTGGAGGAGATGGGGAATGACTGACGAAGTACGGAGGTACAAGTATTGTGTCTCTCTGCAGGTGAATGTACCCTTTGAGCTGAAGCTGAACATCACGGACACCCAGTTTGTAGTTGTAGAGGATGCAACCACCATCGACACCAATGCTGTCATTCTCAAGGTACAGGCAGATTTCATAGTGTTACAGTAACCCTGCTAGCCAACACCAGTTTAGTAGTATCCTGAGGCAGAAGTCCAAACAGGCTTACGATTTATATTGATCTTGTTGACAGATGCAACATGATAGTGGATAGGTGACAAACATGATTGGAATATGGAGCTACTACCATCAAAACATTTCCATCAACTGCTTTTACTCGGTTTTCTCCAGTAACATATATCCTGATAATGTACAAGCTTTCTAGGGTACTTACGGCACAGTTGAATGTGAGGTATTTGCATGAAATGTATGTATATTCACTTACGTAATGGCGACTTGTAAATAATCGAGTCATTGTCATGATCGTCATTCTACAGTTGATATATGATGACAAAGTCCTTGAGTGTTGAGATGTCAGTATAGTCCACCTGATCAAATGGCATTCTCTCATTGGACAAAAGCCTCTAGTTGTACTTTGATGCACATTGCATTGCTAAGCTGAAATTACATAGTGTCTTGCTCTTGTCCAGACTACAGCTGTCCTGATGTACAAGCCTCAGGCTCGAGACAAGGTGTTGCGATGCAGTCTGCAGAGCATTGAGGTCTTCTCCTGCTGCCTTATGTCCGAGGAAGACACTTCACTGTCTATTGTTGACCCCATGACCATCAGCATCGAGATGAACGCCAACCCTCTCCCAGATCTCCGACCCACACCCTTTGGTGGGCTTCTTGATGTCAAGGAGGCAGATCAGAGACAACTCTTACTGGAGGTATGGACACCCCTGAACACTGGAACCTGCTTAATCTGGACAGAATTGTTGCCACCTGTCTGACAGAGTGACACAAATACAACTAAGAGAGGAGCTATCTTTGGGGCAGTGGGCTGTACATATTTTACTCATGTCATTTGAAACCCATTTTGTTTTGTTCAATGTGGGAGTTTTTATCAGACAAGTAGTTAAAGATTACCCTTTGCACAATGATACAGTACCTTTGTTTCACACATTTTCAACATTTAGATCAGGGGCAATTTATAATGTGAAGATTTCTAATAATCTTTTTCCATACTTGCAAAGTTCTAACAGTGATATGTTTGTGTAATGCATATAACAGGCTATTTTTTGTGGTGCCATGACAAAGTTGAACCTATTCAACAGGTAAACTTCAACACAATGACAATCCGTGTGTCCTACCACGACATGATGCTGTTTCTCTCCATCCTCAACTCCCTGCCACAACAGGCCCTCCAGGCCAAGCAGAGACACAGTCAGTACACCGGGACTACACTGCAACATGGTAGGTCTCACATGTCCTAGTAACCCCATGCTGTTGCCAAGATCTGCTTGTTTCAATACTACCTCACTTATGATCCTCAATATGTCAGCACCATGTCCATGCTTGTTGTTTCATCACCAATGTGGGCTGTATTTGGCCTGTATTTACATTCTACTATCAATAACTGAGACACTATTTAATGTATGAAATGTGAACTGGACTACTATGGAAATCTTGTGATTTGACAAAACATTACTCAGTAATAGGTGTGTCATTTTAAAACATTGTTGTACAATGGCACACTAAATGAAACTGATCAAACATTAGAAGCCACATTGTGGCCCCAATCCACACCTATATGCTGAAGCCATTGTGTGAGCTGGGATTCAGCTACAAGGACTGTGAGAAGGCCCTGTCAGAGTGTGAAGGCAATCAGGAGGCTGCAGCTCTGTGGCTGGCAAACAACGCTACCCCCGTCCCTCAGAGCCACAAGCAGAACTTTGCCATCACATCGGCTGAGGTACACAATAAGGCTGACCTTTCTGATAATTGTTTTACAGTGCCACTGAGAGGCTAAAGTGACATCCATGCCGTTTAATGAATAGTAAATGATGTTTTCTTAAACATGGCATGGGGGAATGTGGAAGTGTGTCCATAGATGTGTCAGACATTGTGATCATTGTTTGACCGCCTCCGTGGTTTAGTGGTTTAAAGTGTCTGTAAGGTCGTGTGTTTGATCCACGGCCACATCATACCAAACGACATTAAAATATGGTACTTGATGGTCCCTGCCTGGCGCTCGGCATTAATGGGTACAACAAGGACTGATCGGCTTGGAGTCAGTATAATGTGTCTGAGTGGGGTATTCACTTATCTCATGTTATCTCAGTGAGCTAGCTCTATATAGTGTCTGTGTGGGGACATCTCACAAAGGAATCAACATTCCCAGACTTTTCCTCATGACAATAACTCCCTAACTGATGACTTTCAGCTGAAGGCAGTGTCTGTGTGTCTCTGCCTGATTGATGACTGTGGCGATGCTGACGTCCCCCTGGCCGAGATCTCCTTCAGTGGTAGGTTGAAACACTTTCAGTAATTACAAGACATAACTACACTGGAATCCTGATTCTTGGGCCAAAGGTTAGTTTGACTCATCCACACGTCCAACATTAGCTTATTACTGTCTGATCTAGGCACCAGGCAGCAGAAGAAAACACATCACTTTGTGCATGTCAGGTAAATAACATCTGTATGATAAAGAAAGATAAGCATTTGTGGTTTATATGTTTATGCATTTATTTACATTTTATTCACATCACTTGTCTGAGAATCTATCAAGACACTGCAATCTGTGCTGCTGATGATACACTCTCATACTGCAGGTATCCAGTTCAATCAGACGATGGAGCCCAACATCGAAGGTAAAGCTATCTTCCAGATGACGGGAGAGTACTACAACCGCAGCCTATCTGGCTGGGAGCCCTTCCTGGAGACATGGAGGTGAGCTGCTCCTGCTTCTAGTTCAGTTAGAGTGGAATGTCTCACTTTCCCTATCATCCAGTCTGCAGCTTTTGCTTCACTGTGTACATCAACGTGTTTGTGTGTTTTACAGGTGCTTTGCTGAGTGGAAACAGTTTAAGGAACCAGAAGAAAAGATGTCATTTCAGATTTCAAGTAAGTTAATATGTTCACTTTTTACTTCCCTTCTAATATCCTGAACATCATAAAGACATCACTTCTATGTACTACTGTCTGGTCTACCCATCTGCCGGGTATATCAGTACGTATGTCCATGTTATTTATCAGGGTAGGGAGGGAACCCAGTGATTACAGTATTCAGCACACAAGCTCACCTACTGATCCCGGTATGGGTGGAAGCCCAGGAACATCCTCCATGGTATTTTTTCTTTCTTTTTTTTTAATTCATTTTTTTTTTTAGGTACAAAAACATGACATCAAATCACAACTTAATATAAACCATGCGTTTGTATACAGAGTTTGGTGGTACCTCACATTGACCTCCATGGCATTCTTGCCAAAAGCTGGGTAAACCATACCTACTCACTAATTCTATTGCTGTTGTGTTCCAGCCAATGAGGTGTTGAATGTGAACCTGACCAGCACTCTTCTGGAACAGTACCACCTGACTAAGGGCAGCTGGACAGAGGACTACCTGAAGGACAACAGGTTAGGCCATAGTGTCTATGTTTTGTTGTTTCATGTTTTGTTGTTGTTATTTAATGTATCTATTTATTCTTCTAGCCTGTCAAAGATTAAACAAAATATAAATACACACTAGATTATGGTATCTTTTCACCTTTACACTGCTAGTGTATTAGGTAGCTTTAATATGTAACCAGCCATATGAAGTGTTATTGCCCAGATGTATGGAGCCTTGTTCATGCTATTAATCACTGGTTGGTTTGGTCAAGGCCAAAGTGATTGGAATGTGCTGAGCAACAAGACACTCTCACTCACTCACTCACTCACTCACTCACTCATTCACTCACTCACTCACTCACTCACTCACTCACTCACTCACTCACTCACTCACTCACTCACTCACTCACACACACTTGCATAGACAAGTCAGTGGGTCTTTGTCATGTACTAAATGTCAAAAGAGTAAGATTAAGGGGGTCCATCAATCCAAATACTACCGGAGAGAATCTCAGGACCTCCAGGACCCCATGTATATTGCAATCTGGCCAATGTTGCGGGGAAACTAAAAATATGTGTCATTGTTTTTCAGAGACAGCTTGAAATCCCAAGTCAAGTATTCTGTCAGTCCCAGTTCACTACCGTCCTCCAAACTACTCCGTCGTCGCCTCCCGTTCATCCCCTACACCATCCGCAACGACACCGGCTGTGACCTGTGGTACATCACCGCCATCTCCTCTCCATCAAAGTAAGCTTCTCAGAATCATTTAGTGACACTTTCTGGTATCTATAGACAGTTCGTATTATGTATTCCAGTTGTCTATAGATTTCTAGATAAACTAGAGCTGAGCTTTTCTTGTTTTGTTCTGTTTTATATGTAAGTGCTGTAATGAAATTCTGGGTATTGATGAATTGAGAATTTGTGTGTTTGGTTTCAGTGAACCGAAAGAAGGTATGAATGACACGGGTAACGTCCAGTCATATGACAACGCCTACACTCAGGCCTCCGATTGGAAGCGGGTTACAACTGGAGAGTCCAAACCATTCAACTTCCACCGCAGAGAAAAACTCAGACACAAGGTAGATAATTCGTTAGACACTTTGTTTGAAATGAAGCTTGCAAGTCAGGGGGCCTTGTCATAACCCTCAAATACCATTGAAAAACCTGAATGACACCAGGTGTTAGTCTGAACCACTGATTCCTGTTCTAGGATGTTGAAGTGAAATGAATCTCCAGGTGAAGGTAGTGGCAGCTAGAAGCACAAATGTTAAGTCAACAGATGATCAAATTCTATGAAAAATTGTTCAGCTGCCTTGAGTATGATGGCTGGGAAAATTGGGAATGGGTTAACATTATAGCAGATATAACTGTGTTTCCAGTTTGAATGATATAAAATTATTGACAAATGTGTATGTATATTTGTGTTAAGTGTGACACTTCATGCCCAGTCATTACTTGGTTATATATATTATTAAAAAACACATTTAAGTATTACAAGCACGTGTTTGTTTTGTAGAAAACCCACGGAATGCACATCAACCAGCTGTTGGTAACGGTGGCTGGCTGGCAACGCCTCTCCCCCATCACTGTGGACAAGGTGGGTGTGTACTTCCGGTACACAGAGCCTGACAAGAAGACTCCTACAGCCAACACAGTAAGATATGCACAGGAAATCTTAGCACAAGTCATGACGTGGCAAGCAAACATTATGACAGCATGAAACTCTTACAACTTGTTTTGGTTTTACAAGACAGGATGTGATCCGTCAGACAGCAACATTCTTTGACAAGTATTGATCCAACTGAAATTGATCTTGATTGAAACATCAGCTCCATGCCATGATACGCCTACTGCATATATTTATACATATCTCAATACTTGAGTCATGATGTCCATCAAAGTCGGAAATATTACTGTTAATGTACTTTATTCTCAATGTGGTTAGTCAGAGGTTGCTGGAGGCTAGTTTGTGATCAGATTCAGGTATTATACTGTAGAATGTAGCATGTTGTTTAGTGATAGGCAGTCTGGTAAAGCAGTACCCAATAGTTATCACACCATTTTCTTACGAAAGTTTGTGTATGCTGTTTTTTAAAATCGGTAGAGATTTCAAACCTCAGTATAAAGTAGACACATCATGCATCATATTGTCAGGGGTATTATTTGAAGTCATGTATCATTCTTCACACTGAAGTAACCCGTGAAGGTCCGGATTAGAATTGATTTTCATTAACCCATGCTTGTCGTAAGAGGCGACTTAATGGGATCGGGTGGTCAGGCTCACTGACTTGGTTGACGCATGTCATCAGTTCCCATTTGCGTAGATCGATGCTCATGCTGTTGATCACTGGATTGTCTGGTCCAGACTCGATTATTTACAGACCGCCACCATATTGCTGAAATATTGCTGAGTGCAGCATAAAACTGAACTAACTCACTCACTCACTCATATGATCTCTTTCTCTCCCACTGTAGCTTCACCCAGCATGTATTGTGATCGAAGTGAAACAGGACGGCAGTGCCAGGAAGCTGATCGTGGTGCGGTCCTCCCTGGTTGTGGTCAATCAGCTGGACTGTCCACTGCAGGTCAGGATGACCAGCACAGACGAGACAGGTAAGGAGAGCTCTACAGTGCTTATCGTAGACAGTGGGTCAAAGGTTTTATCACTCTTCTTTCAGTTTTAAATTATTTCTTTATACATTTAACTTCATAGAGTTGTAAGATTAATTTTCTGTTGAGAGATTTAAGTTGTTAATGGTTATTAAATTCCTCCTGTCTCAGTTTAAAGTTTCTTGTGATAATCAAAATGTTCAACTTTTGCACTCTCTCAACTTTCACGCTGACCCATCACTGTATAGGACATTCATGTATGAAGTTTCTTGTCAACTTACCAAACAGATATACTCAAAGACAAAAGTAACTCAGAGGTCAGTCGGGTAACTGATCCTCCTGTTTGTGTGGTCAGTTGGGGACTCTGATCCCATTATTTGCTATGTTGGTGGGGTAGCTCTAATCATGTGGTTCAGGTAGTTAATTGTTGCTCATCACACCGAAGTTCTATTTGATGCTGCACATGATCTTTATTATTTAACCATTGTTATTCTTATTAAATAATTTTTTGTTATTGTTATTGTTTTATTTTTAATATTCTTCAGAATTCAGTTACTTTTGCCTATGAGTATATCTGTGATCAATTCATGCTGTACAGTGCCAATTTTGGGTTGACAAAATTTCAGAGGTGACTTCCTATGCTCTTTCGGCATTAAGACATGCATTGTCCGCCACAGAACCATCAGGTTAGCACTCTTCTTGGCTGCATGACAGCATGTTAGTTCAGTGAAACAAACCTTGTTCAGAGTATGATTGAATGGGGAGCTGTTCAGTGTGGGATAAGTATTGAAATGAGGTGGTCCCAGACCCCACCTTGCCTCACCCCACCTTATCCCACACATATACACACTCCCAACCTCCCAATGTGTTTGTGGAAATAAAGTCCCAGAAGCATGGTTTTGAGTAAGTTTGCAAACAGATGGTTCAACAGATTTACAGATTAGAGATTACAGAACCTAATATGAAACACAGTGGAAACATATCAAAGGGAAACTATACTCAAACTTTAGTTAGAACTATTTTAATTAGCCAGCACAATCACCGGATGTCAGCGAACTGGCTTTCAGACCAGCTGGGGAGGGCCTCTTTGAAACCAGGGAAATCCACATGAATTTGCACATTTGATCGGATTAATCATTAATAATCTATATATGTTTGCTTAAACCTTTCACCTTCCAAACTTGTATATGTGTGCACATGTGTATGTACACTTGTGTACTTCAGCATACAGCAAATATTTGTATGTGTTTATTTGCAACCACGAAGTTCAGTTAATGTACTCAAAACACTTACTTTATCAGGAAATGTGCATGTAACCTAGAACAATTCATCTCTTCTTGTCATCCCTGTTTTATTATATAAGCTGTACATTTGTGTGTTTGTTATCATTCAACTTGATGCTCAACTTATGACTTTATTACAAGTATTTATTAGTGGTGGCAGCACTGACTACCTGAAATAACTCCATAACGTTCACCCCTGACTGAGGGTCTCAAGGGTATATAGCAGTCAGTGATTCATGTTTGGCATTTCTCCTATCTGGTGTAATTATTCAATTTAAGATTGGGTCTTGAAAACATTTGAAGTGGTGAATGTCTTGTATGTTATGTAATACGCATGTGACAGTGCAATGAGAAGGAATGGCAAGTCGACTTGCAAAACACTTCAGAGGATTAACAGATAATTGATTGATTAACCACTGTTATCTTGCATAGTGGATATGTCAAAACATGTGTGTGTGTGTGTTGAGGGGTGGGTACATGGGCTTGGGCTGTTACTTTCAATTTGAAATGATGGAGGCAGACATTGGGTATTGTTCAGGGTGAAGTTTTCCAAATTAACAGCTACAGCTTGGCTTGACCTGAGCTACTCTACATTTCTGGAGTTTAAGCCATATTTGAAATGATGGAGGCTGGCTACATGTATCAACGTGTACACCATTACGGTATTGTTCTTAGGTGTTTGTTTACCTTTTTTAACGATCACTGCTTTCCAAATTAACAGACTACAGCTTGTTCAGCTTGACCTGAGCTACTCTCGGTAAATAAAAACATCAACTTGTCTACTCACGGATCGAAACGAAGTGTAGTTGACAGAAAATGCATAATATATTTTGCTTCTCTAAATATCATATTTATTGTAGCAACAAACTGGCTTGCTTATTTTACCCCATTCAACAATCACAAACTGATTACCGCCTCGTTCCATGTCAAGTGCTTACCACGTTCATGATGGTCCGTATAACCTTAGTGTTGATTATATATTTTTTACATAAAAACTATTACACAATGCTAGGATATATTTCTTTGGGTTAAATAATAGTATTCAATCAATAGAATTCATCCCGTTAAACCGGGCGTTATATTATTGTGCATGTTTGAACTTGTTCGCGGGTCATATACGGTATGCATGACCCGGGAGGTCAAATGGCACGAACGACAGGTCGAGTTAACCTCATTAAATAGGGGAGCAAGAATGTTATTAATGTTGCTGCTCGCTGCCTAAAAGCTCGAATCGGAAATAATAAATCCTCTTTTTTTAAAGAAAGTTAGGACATTGCTGACGATTTCTCGACACTGAGGTGTCAAACCTGTCAAACGGCGACCTTGTCTCTACTGTTCAGACATGTTGGCAATCAATGCACCCCTTCACAATAATAGACCTAACCAGGTGTGACAAGGTCACGCAATGCATTAGTATTCACTTGATCAGGTCAAGCTGAACGAGCTGTAACAATGTACTTTTAACATATTACTTAGAAAGTATATCACTAATTACCAATATCGTCTACAGTCTTTTGGAATGTAATATGATATAATCAGAAACATGTTCATATTGTATACCTTGCAGCACTTTAACCTGATGTTCAACTTATTGTTATGAGTAATTCGTATTTGCTATATATAAAGAGCCATTAGTATGTTTAGTTATATCTTCCTATAACCCTGATGGTTGTAAACACAGCAGTCACCATCATGTGTATTAATGTCACTGATCCTGCACCCCCAGGCTCCTCCACCATGACCCTGCAGCGGAATGTCCCCACCCCCGTGCCTTTGCCGAAGGTGTACTACACACTGAAGGCTCGCCCGGCTGAGTGGCCGGTAGATTACTGTGAATGTCCTCTACACTGGCGACAGGTAAACAGGGCCGGGGAGGCCAGTGACGGCATCCGAGAGTGTAAGAGCAACGATGGAGGAGGGGAAATGTACAGGTGGGTGGAGCTAGTTTCCATCATTTGTCCTAACTCATACCTAGTCTCCCCCAAAAGATTTTGAGTCTTCTAGCTCGAACATGCCTCTTTTTCAGCAGATACTAGTGTAGGTGTATTACTTTCATAAGGAAAGCTCACTAGATGAAATGTCTCTTTGACCTTAGACTAGTGGCTATAGTCTTAAACTGGAGCTGGGGGTCGCATAGTAGTTAAAGTGTTAGCTCGTCGCGCCAAAGACATGGGTTCGATTCCCCACATTGGTACAATGTGTGAAGCCAATTTCTGGTGTCCCCACCGTGATATTGCTGGAATATTGCTAAAAGCGGCGTAAGGCTAAATTCACTCACTCACTCACTAGACTGGAGCTATTGCAGATCAAAGCTGTTGGTATCAAAGATCCATGCTGTAAATAGGGATCCACAATGTTACAGTGCATAGTGGCTGAGTTGCTGGTAGTCCCCATCTTCTAAACATGAAGTAAACAGAGAAACAAGTTAATGACTGAAGACCCTCTGTGTATTTGTGTAACAGATGGTATCTATTCAATACTCCTTTATTTATTTCCCCCTCAGTAATTCCAGGAGAGCTGAAATCCGTGATTTGAGATTATATTCCGAACAGCTATCCAAGATTCCACATGATCGTGTGTCCTTCACAGGTTCTGTGTGTCAGTGCGGAGAGAGCTGTACCCTGAAGTGGTCACCCTGGAGGATGGTAGCACCTCCACCCCCTGCCTGCCCGGCCACACCATCACTCTGGTGCCCCCTCTCACCATCACCAACCTGCTGCCCCTCGAGATGCACTACTACCTGAAGAAGACCGACATCTCTGGCAACCTCAAGCCGGGCAAGTCAGCAGCACTGCATGGGGTGAGACGCAGAGATACTGGTGCAAACTGCTCTTCAAGTGTAAACATATGGGGGCCTTACCCTTATCCTGTTGTGTGGAAGTATCACAATTCTTAATTTGTCCAGTAAATATTCATTTTTTCAGAGTCTACTTGTCTGAATTATTGACCATAAAGTCAGTGAATTATTGACCATAAAGTGAGTGAAGTTATATTCATTGTTGCTTAACTGTGAAAGTATTTAACATGAAGACAGTATCCAGCAATGTATCAAAGAGTTATGCTTAGATTTTGTTCAGTATGTTTATGGTAAAAGTAGCAACCTAAATATAGATATATACAAATGCGCATCCCCTGAAACAGTAAATTCTTCAGTATATCAATATGGCATTGCATGTCCAACATGTGTCTCCTCCATCCCTAAATGTGCCCTAGATGGGTCTTTCTGCCCTATGAAGCATGTCCAACATGTGTTTCCTCCAACCCTAAATGTGCCCCAGATGGGTCTTTCTGCCCTCTGAACCATGTCCAACATGTGTCTCGTCCAACACCAAATGTGCCCCAGATGGGTCTTTCTGCCCTATGAAGTATGTCCAACATGTGTTTCCTCCAACCCTAAATGTGCCCCAGATGGGTCTTTCTGCCCTCTGAACCATGTCCAACATGTGTTTCCTCCAACCCTAAATGTGCCCCAGATGGGTCTTTCTGCCCTCTGAACCATGTCCAACATGTGTTTCCTCCAACCCTAAATGTGCCCCAGATGGGTCTTTCTGCCCTCTGAACCATGTCCAACATGTGTCTCGTCCAACACTAAATGTGCCCTAGATGGGTCTTTCTGCCATGTGAAGCATGTCCAACATGTGTTTCCTCCAACCCTAAATGTGCCCCAATGGGTCTCCTTACCTTTTGAAGCATGTCCAACATGTGTCTCGTCCTACCCTAGGCTGACCTGCGCCATGACCTACTGCTGGGTGTCAATGTGGAGAACCTCCCCCAGTGCAAGGAACTGACCATCCCCCAAAGCACCACCAAGTACAGACTGAAGCTGCGTGTCTATGATGACAAGAAGCGACTGCTGGAGCTCATCCTCAGGATCAAGTCAGCCAGAGGAGGATCTCTGCAGGTAAGCCAGCATATTGTGTGGGAATACATAGACCTTACTTGTTATCACTGTTAATCCTGCATGATCGAAATCAGTTTTTATTCCTCAAGATTTTGTGGTCCAGACTTTATTGTTTACAGACCACTTGTATATAGCCAGAATAAAGTTTACAGGTAAACACTACTTGGTGATGTTGCTAGTGCTGATGTTGACATTGTGTTGTGAATGTCCAGCTGAGTCTGCAGGCCCCGTACTGGCTGGTGAACAAGTCCGGTCTGCCGCTGATATTCCGACAGGACAGCGCTCGGGCTGAGGCGGCGGGACAGCTGGAGGAGTATGAGTTGGCCCGAGTGTCACACCCACTGCTGTTCAGCTTCTCAGACAAAGAGGCACCCAATCTGTGAGTTGCTGTGTTTTAAAATGAGTAGTCATCTACCAATGTAATTCAGGGTCTCGCCTGTATCATTTTAGTTTTGCTGAATATTACTTTTTTAAGTTGATACCATTCTCTGTTAATGTAAAATGCTATCGTCTACTCCAGATTATTTCCAACTTTAGAATCTTGTCCGTGTTCAACAAAGCAATTTTAGGGGCGGTGGGGTAGTCTAGTGGTTAAAGCGTTGGCTCATCACACTGAAGATCCGGGTTCGATTCCCCACATGGGTACAATGTGTGAAGCCCATTTCTGGTGTTCCCCGCCATGATGTTGCTGGAATATTGCTAAAAGCGGCGTAAAACCAAACTCACTCACTCGCTCACAAAGCAATTTTAGTGCTAAAACTCTGGTAAATCTATGTTACGGTATGGAATCACTGTAGATGGATTGGCGGAACGGGGCTATGACCTGCGACAATGTACCTGTAATGCTTGTACTTATATCCTTTTACTGATTGTTATTTGAGTAACAGGGGGCCATGGCTGGCCCTCTTCTTTTAGGCAACGAAATTTGCTATGCAGAGTTACTTAAGCTTTCCAGAGCCCTGTGATTTAGCGTACACTTTCTCCATGTTTGTGGGAGAAGCCAGTTGTTAAGCTGCATCCCTCCAGGATTTCCACCTACATGACACTGACATGCCCTCATATAGCTGAGTCTTGGGTCCAACTCACTATCAAATAAGGCATGTATAATGATAACATGAATACACAAGGCTAAATTACTTCCAGCTTGCTTAGTCCTATTGCTGTTTACTGCCATGGAAATGCATGGGCTGACAAGATATTGGTGTACATGTGGTATATCAAAGATTTTCTATGTTTGCTAGTTGTATGATTTCATATACTAGAACTCCCATTGTGTTGTATGATTTCAGGTGCACCATGAGAGTTGGCAAATCTGTCCATGGCGAGAATGCTTTCCCACAGTGGTAAGAACTAAAGCTGTCAGGTATTAGGCTGCAGGTACTCTAACTATGGGTACACTTCATACTGTCAGGTGTTACTGCACTTCTATGGGTACTGTCAGGTGTTAGGCTGCAGGTACTCTAACTATGGGTACACTTCATACTGTCAGGTGTTAGGCTGCAGGTACTCTAACTATGGGTACACTTCATACTGTCAGGTGTTAGGCTGCAGGTACTCTAACTATGGGTACACTTCATACTGTCAGGTGTTAGGCTGCAGGTACTCTAACTATGGGTACACTTCATACTGTCAGGTGTTAGGCTGCAGGTACTCTAACTATGGGTACACTTCATACTGTCAGGTGTTAGGCTGCAGGTCAACTATGGTGACACTTCATACTGTCAGGTGTTAGGCTGCAGGTACTCTAACTATGGGTACACTTCATACTGTCAGGTGTTAGGCTGCAGGTACTCTAACTATGGGTACACTTCACACTGTCAGGTGTTGATTATTGTACCACATGATAGCTCCATGGTCTTCTGGGCAGGTGGGCTCACCTTAAATCATGTTAAAGCAGTGGTTTGTGTACCCTAGCTTGATATCCCATGTGTACAATGTGTGATGGCCATTGCTCATGTTCCTACTGTGATATTGCCAGAACATTCCGACGTGCAGTGTGAAACAATACGCTGTTACTCATGTGATTTTTTAATACAGTGTTTTTCAGCTGAATATTCTTCTTCATAGAGATCGTCCTTGGGGTACATATTATGCATTTTCCACGCTGAAAATGTCCTGTGACAGTTGTATCAATGTTTTTTGAATAAAAAGATTGTACAATAAATAAACTTTTTTATTTATTATACGGCCCCCACCTCGTGGAGTTACCTCCCGTTACGCATGCGCACCAACTGGGTAAGCACCTAGGTCCGTATCATCATTCCTTCTGCTGTCACTCACATGTGAAGACGTGTTCGATGTGCCGTGCAGCGCTGTTTTCTCCTAAAGAAATTGAAAGAGATAGAGACACCACCTGTATGTATGGTCTTTATTTTATGTCCTTGCAAGGACCTGTAAAGCTTCGCGGTCGGTTGTTTCATAATTGTGACTTTGTATTAATTATTTTACGCTAACTTTCCCGCGGTTTACGCACATGTTGCTCTGCCATGGCGGGAAGTTTAGCGTGCCACGTGGTTGTAATATTGCGTATTGAACCAACTATTTCTTCCCGTGGTAGCCTTCACGTATTTTTCAATGTTTTCTACGTGTATGTTAGCTGCTGGTCCGCTGTTAGCTACATGCTTGCGTGTTTGCTTTCAGGCGTTTTCCTCCTGTACGGTCTGTGGGCAGAGTATCCCACGGGCCGACAGACACGATAAGTCTATCGTCTGTCTGGAGAAGACGGACCATGTTGCCGAAACTTGTGAAATTTGCATGGGTTTTTCCCCCCGGGCCCAGAAGAGGAGGGCGGCCGATTTCCTCTTTTACAGAGAAATGCGTGAGGCGGGAGGGGAACTTACCCAGGTCCCCCCGTCTAAGGCTAAAAAGCCGCGCTCTAAGGGAAAAAAATCCCGTAGCCAGTCCCCTTCTCCCGCTACTAGTAGCGGTTTTGATATGACTTTAATCACACAGATGTTTCAGCAGCACGCAGACTCGATGAGGTCCCTCGTTCATGAGACGGTTGGAGGACTCCGGCAGGAGTTCCTCGCCCACTCTGAGCGTGGGGCGGAGAGTCTGGGGGTGGGATCGCCGAGCCCGGCTCGATCCCTCGGCCTTGAGGCGTCTGTAGATCCGTTGCCTCTGGCTTCGGGTCTGGACGCCTCGGCTGCCCCGGAGGGGGAGGCTTCGCTCCCAGTCCCCCTCTCGGAGTTGGCGCAGGGACCGTTGAGTATTCCTGGGGTTCCGATCCCTGCGCCCTCCCGCCCCATGAGAGCGGAGGCACCAGTTCTGCCTGGTCTGCCTCCAGCGTCTCGGGACCGGGGTCCGTGTATGATTGCAGGCACTGACGCGGGGCACTCTGTCTGCTCCTCCCTCTCTGCTGTACCTAGTGCTAGGCCGCCCACCGGGTCGGGGTTTCGGTCCTCTTCGCGAGGAGACCCAACCTCAGACTCGGGCTCGGGCGCCGAGTCTATGGATACTGGGGAGGTCGAGGAGCAGGAGGGTGCCTTCCGTTTTTCTTCGGCTCTGCGGGAGGTCCGGCAACGCATTGCCAAGTACCTACCCCAGGCCGCGGTGCCTGCCAGCTGCTCGGACTCGGCTGAGTTCCGCCTGCCAGGCGAGGCGTTTGCCCCCTAGGCAGCCTACGCAGACGCTGCTCCGTGTTCTTCCGTCGTTGGTCCAGGACGTGGTGGATCCCCTCCTGTCTGGGTCTCGCCTCCGTTTCGACTTGCCAGAGCTTGTCCGGAGGTACCAGCTGGGGGAGGATTCCCTGTTCGCGGTTCCGATGGTGGATGAGTGCGTGTTCACTTCGGTCGCCTTGGGGGGAGGCTCGGCTTCCTCCGGAGCAGCTCCGGCTGCTCGGCAAGGTCGGTTGACACCACCGTTTGCCCTCGCGGGCGCCCCCCTGCGGCATGCGTACAGTACCTACGAGGAGGTTTTCCGGAACGCTATGCAGCAGGTCAGGGTTGTGGTCCATGAGGCCTACCTCTCCTCGATACAGAGGTCGGCCTTGGAGGCAGAGGGGCATGCTGGAAACGTTTCTCCGCATGTCGTGCTACTCCGTCAGTTGTCCGAAGTGCAGGCCCACCTCGCTCGCGACTCTTTGCAGTCAGCTGCGTCGACGGTGATGTGCGCAGTCATGGGGATGCGCAAGCTGTGGCTGTCGACGTCTCGTTACTCGGCAGCGACACAGCAGACCTTGCTGGCCCTCCCCTTCCGTCTGGGAGCGACGCTGTTTCCCGGGGCACAGCAGGTCATACAAGGATTCTAAGGCCTTGTTGGAGCAACCGCGGGCTTCTCGCCCCCGCGCTCCCGTTCCACCTTCCTCCGCCGGGGTGCAGCCTACACCCGAGTCCGCTGGCTGGCTTCGGCCACTTGGCAGGGGTAGGCGGAGGCACAGGTCCGCCAAGGGTAAGGGCAAAGAGCAGTCCTCTTCGACTAGCTCCCAGCCTTTTCGCGGGCGCGGGAGGTCTGCCCCGAACTCCCGTTAACCCATCAGGCTGTCGATCCAGCCGTGTGTCACGCCCAGTCAGCTCCGCTACTCGGGACAACGCACGCGCTTTTACCCAACGTCCCAGTGGGAGGCCGCCTCTCTCTGTTCCTGCCGGAGTGGGAGAAGGCTACAAACAACACTTGGGTGCTGTCCACCATCAGTGTAGGCCATTTACCACTGTGGAAGCGAGGTCCGCCCGACTTCACCGGCATACGCCGCACTCCGGTGCCGTCATGTCAGGCAAGGGCGGACATATTGCGCGACGAAGTTCAGGCTCTGCTGGACAAGTCCGCAATCGAGCGCATTCCACCGGGAGAGGAACAGGCAGGATTTTACTCCACGTACTTCCTCGTCCCGAAGAAAGACGGCGGGTTCCGTCCCATTCTCAACCTCAAGGCGTTGAACCGCATGCTCAGAGTACCATCCTTCAAGATGGAGACACTGCGCTCGGTGATCTCCTCTGTTCAGCCCGGCGATTGGCTCACGTCAATCGACCTCAAGGATGCGTATCTGCATGTGCCCATACATCCATTGTTCAAGCAGTACCTTCGGTTCTCTTACGACGGGATGTGTTACCAATTCACGGTGCTACCCTTAGGCATATCCACTGCCCCAAGGGTGTTCACCAAGCTCATGTTAGTCCCGGCTACCCTCGCTTGCTCGCAAGGAAGGCGTTGTTACCCTTACCTCGACGACTGGTTGCTCGGAGCACTAACACAGCCAGCGAGCCTAGATGCTACTCACACAGTGATAGACATTCTAGTTCGACTGGGGTGGATCATCAACCTCAAGATATCCGACCTGGTACCCACCCAGGACTTGGTTTTTCTCGGGGCGAGATTCCAAACACACAAGGATCTAGTTTCCTTGTCGCCCGACCGGATCACCAGAGTACGGGAGATGGTATCTTCGTTCCTCTCCCAGCCCCAGGCACCAGCACGGACTTGGCTCCATCTACTGGGCCATATGGCGGCGACGATCTCTGTAGTGTGGCGGGCGCGGTTGAGGATGCGCCTATACAGCAAGCTTTGGCGAAGTCTGTGGGCTCACTCGAGGACCTGGAGCGCAGTCTCACAGTCCCCGGGTGGTTGACACCTCACCTTCAGTGGTGGACCAATGTCGGGAATCTCACCAGGGGTCCCCTTGAAATCCCGGCCGCCAGCTCTCACAGTTCAGACCGATGCGTCCCTCACGGGCTGGGGGGTTGTTCTGGGCAGTCTGTCGGTGTCCGGACTCTGGTCTGAAGCTGAAGCCCACCTTCACATCAACGTGTTGGAACTGAGAGCTGTGCGGTTGGTTTTCGAGCGCTTCGAGAGCATGTCCGTGGCCAGGTAGTCCGTCTTCAGTTGGACAACCAGACGGCCATGTCGTACATCCTGAAGCAGGGCGGCACGGTGTCCCCTGAAGGCCTCCAGGAGACGGGACTTTCTATTCTGGTGCGACCAGTGCGCGTTGTCAGGTACTCCCTGTTTATCTCCGGGGCTGGAGAACGTCGGGCAGACGCCTTCTCGGGCCGATCCTGGCCCCGCGACGAGTGGGATGCTCGACAGGCAGATTTTCAGAGTTATCTCCCAGTTGTACGGGTCGCTCCAGGTGGATCTGTTTGCGTCTGGCGGGACGAATCAGACACCCGCTGTTCTGCTCTACCGGACCCAGGGGCGCTGGCTGCCGCGCCTTCCTGCTGGATTGGACGGGCAGAGGGCTCTGGCATGCTTCCCGCCGTTACCACTCATTCCCCGTGTCCTTTCACAGCTGTCCACCCAGCCAGCTCGGCTGCTTGTGCTACTGGCACCGCTTTGGCCGCTACAGAGCTGGTTTCCGGTAATTCTCAGGTTTCTGGCTCAGCCTCCTGTTCTATTACCTTTACGACCGGACATTCTCACTTTCAGAACGGAGAGCCCACCCAAATCCAAGGATTCAGTGGGTGGCTTGGCCTCTGTCAGGTCTAGCCTCGAGGCACGCAGAATTCCTGCAGCAGTTGCAGACACAATTCTGGCTTCGGTAGGGATTCGGCAAACGCTCAGTATGAGGATAGGTGGTCCCGCTTATGCGCTGGTGTTCAGATAGGGGATTGCAGATCCCTTTTCTGCGGATTTAGTCCCAGTATTGGAGTTTTGCAAGCCCGCTTGGAAGAAGGCCTGGCGACGCCGACCATTTGGCGGCTACTCCACCGCTATTTCCACTTTTCACACCCCCGTCGATGGTGCTCTTCTGGGCAGCACCTCTCTCGCATAGCGCTCTCGCATGAATGGGTTCGACCTGCTGTCAGGCTTAACCAGCCCACCTTGGGATTTGTCAATTGTGCTCGATTGGCTGTCCGGTCCAACTTTCTCACACCTATCGGCTATTTCCATTCAGTTGTTAACTTGGAAGGCTGTTTTCAGGTGGCGTAACGCCTGGGCGTAGGGTCGGCGATTTACATGCTATGTCGTCCGACCCGGCGCTGACTGTGTTTCACACTGATCGTGTCAGTATTCGCCCCCAGATACGCATCACCGGAAGGGTCGATCACGCTTTCCATGTGACAGCTCCTATCGAACTTCCCACTCTTACCCAGCCTTCCACATCGGGGACCTCTGCAACGAGCACTCACCCGCTGGATGTCCGTAAGACCCTCAAAGTCTATATCAAACGAAACGCAGGGAATCCGCACGGGTACCCAGCTGTTCTGTTGTTACGGTGGCGGAAGGCTGGTGTGTCGGCAAGCAAGCAGACTTTGTCTCGCTGGCTAGTTTCGTGTATTTGTGCCGCTTATCAGGCTAAGGGCAAGCCTCCCCCTGAGGGGTTGAAGGCTCACTCGGTCAGGGCAGTAGCCGCATCAAAAGCTTTTGCATCGGCACTCCCCATTGAAGAGATCTGCTCTGCCGCTATTTGGAGCCGGCCTAGCACGTTATTTCGGCGTTATCAGCTCGATACGCATTCCCGTAATCGTGCGAGCTTTGTCCCTTCTGTTCTCTCCAGTGGACAGTGTCCTGCCACCCTGACCGAGTGAGTCTTGGTTCATTGGTTTTGTTTGACGCTGCTGTTCAATACTGAGTTTTATTGACATATCCGCTACTGGGAGCTAACTACCCACATTTCGATTCTCTAGGAGTATTTAGGTCGATTGTGAGTGTTTTGACATTCCCCCCTACGGTGCTCACTAATCGACACGTGGTGGGTGGGGCTTTGTTTACATTTCGCACCATGTGCGATTTACTATGCTAACATTTGGAGGTCGTCTTTGAGCACAAATCCTCCCTGTCAGTTCCCCTCCCATAATGCCTCTCGCGGACGCGAAAACTGGGACATACGACAGGTGAGTGTCATGGCGTCTGTTACATTATTTCAATTAACGATAGCTATTTGTATGTGCTTGGACAGAATTCCCTCCTCCCTGGCCTCCGGTCTTTGGGAGTCTGTGTTTATGCATAATATGTACCCCAAGGACGATCTCTATGAAGAAGAATTAACCAAACCTGAAGAGGTTTTCAATTCTTCGAAGAGAGTCGTCCTTGGTGTAGGGCCTCCCGCCTCCCCGCAATTCTGTTCACTGATGTATTCAGCAGAAGGAATGATGATACGGGCCTAGGTGCTTACCCAGTTGGAAAGCATGCTGTGAGGTAACTCCGTAGGTGGGGGCCGTATAATAAATAAAAAAGTTTATTTATTGTACAATCTTTTTATTCAAAAAACATTGATACAACTGTCACAGGACATTTTCAGCTTGGAAAATGCAAAATATGTACCCCAAGGACGACTCTCTTCGAAGAATTGAAAACCTCGTCAGGTTTGGTTAAGTTTTACATTCAGGACAATTTGGCAAAGGATGATGTAAAACAGAAACTTTTAGTTTCTGTTTGGAAAAATCCCTGAGGAGATTCCTAGTCAGAATTCAAGAATCCAGATTCCAAGCCGTTATGCTTGTAGTAAGGGCTAACTTTGTGATTGTGTGCTCAGACACTGACTCAGGTTCATCATTATCATCAGGCCTCTTGCCTGGATCACTGTTCGTTCTTACCTAGCACTTGAAACCTCACTGGCTTGTCTGGTGCTGACTTGTTCATTTACAGGTTGTTGAAATACACAGTGCCATTCAGAAAGTGGTCATGTATAACATATGTTACATGTAGTAATACTGCTGGAATAATACTGACTTCCTGACATTCTGAAGGTGTAAGCGTTTCTCCCTGGAGCGAGGGATCGGCATGAGGCAGCTTCACATAGTACCTCGACAGAACAACAGACCAGACTGGTTAGTAGATCTGCAAACCCAGGCCTGACAGCGCTTCTTATTAGCCATTCCTAACAGCATTCAGTAAGTGTGGTGTCACTAACATTGCTTGCAGCCATCTTGGCAAGCATCCATCGGGATGAAGGATTACCTCCCCTTCTATAGAATTAATACTTCTCTGTGCTCTTGGGAATGGCTAGCTTTACTTTTGCATATATATTTCTATTGACTTTAAAAATGTTATTTTAGTAAAACAATAATATGTATACCTTTAATATGATATTAAATGACTTTAGATATGTGATCAAATATTCTTTTTAATCATTTTCTTCCTTATCAATTTTAGTCAAAATCTAAGTTTATATCTAAAGAAGAAAATATGTTTTCATAATGGCTGACTCCTATCAGAAGTGAAGGTTTTGCTGCTGGTATGCAGTTAGGAAGTAAAGATATTACATATGTTAAACACTGTAACTTGTGAATGGTGACAGTTGTCAGGTTCTTCCATGTCTTTTGTACTGTTTGTTGTGGTGCCTTCTTCTTTAATTCTTTTAGTATCCTTTCTTATTTTCTTTCTTTACATTCTTGTTTGTTTTGGTAAAGGATTTGATAATTGACCTAAATAATAATTATTTTTGGTAGTTCACTTTGTTGCCCAGGGATATTAATTTGATGTCTTTTGTTAGTAGACAGTACTAATAATTCCTTGTGAATTTACAACCTTGTTTATCTGTAAGATCAGAATTCCTCAATGACTTTGTGTATTTAGGTATCAGAATCTCGTGTTCCGCTCCCAGATTCACTGATATTCTGATGAATGGTTTGTTAACACCCTTGATGCGTCAACGTGTTAGACTTGCATACCCTCTAGCAGTTCCTCCCGCATTACAAGCAGTAACATAATGTAGTCACTGCTCACAGCAGTAGTGAACCCAGCTGACTGGTTAATGTGTGACTGAGGTGTAGCGAGGTAGTCTGTGCCACCTGTACGTGCTGGAGTAGCTGTGGTGCATGTACCCTACCGGTGTGTGTGTGCATGCGTGCATGCGTGCATGCATTTTAAGGGTGGGGGTCAAAAGTGTGTCTGTAAAACATGTAATTGAGTTGACCTCACCTATGACTGTATGTACTGATCTATGTTTCTCTCCTTCTCCTCCCCCCCAATGCTGACAGTGACCCCATCTGTCTACCTCACACCATCTCCCATACCACCAGGTACAACACTTGTACACTCTCAGTGTATGTAGCCCAACACCTCTCATAGTCTGACACTCATGTATTCTGAATGCATGTCATATGTCTTTATGTCAAATATTCAGTCTATACATTCAGTTTATACATTCTACTTAATAGTATTCATTGGTTGTTTAACTTAGGGGAGTGGATCTGAAGAAACACCAAGATGCAGTATGCATAAAGTTGTGCGAGATGTTTAAATGAGTAAGGGGGCTACATGCACTGACAGAAGTAATAACAGCATGTTGTATCCTGAGTTGTGTTCATTTATATTTAAAGTTACTAGATGACTGCATTATTCCATGAAGAAATGTAGCATGATCGTGACTTCCGACACTTAAACATTGACCTGCAGTTGTAACACAAGACTTCTTTGTGGAACATATTGTAATGTGGAGAATAAGTATATTGTAATGAGAGAATAAGTATATTGTAATGAGAGAAGAAGTATATTGTAATGAGAGAATAAGTATATTGTAATGTGGAGAATAAGTATATTGTAATGAGATATTGTAATGAGAGAATAAGTATATTGTAATGAGAGAATAAGTATATTGTAATGAGAGAATTAGTATGTGGAGAATAAGTATATTGTAATGTGGAGAATAAGTATATTGTAATGTGGAGAATAAGTATATTGTAATGAGAGAATAAGTATATTGTAATGAGAGAATAAGTATATTGTAATGTGGAGAATAAGTATATTGTAATGAGATGTAATGAGAGAATAAGTATATTGTAATGAGAGAATAAGTATATTGTAATGAGAGAATAAGTATGAGAAATAAGTATATTGTAATGTGGAGAATAAGTATATTGTAATGTGGAGAATAAGTATATTGTAATGAGAGAATAAGTATATTGTAATGAGAGAATAAGTATATTGTAATGTGGAGAATAAGTATATTGTAATGAGATATTGTAATGAGAGAATAAGTATATTGTAATGTGGAGAATAAGTATATTGTAATGAGAGAATAAGTATGTGGAGAATAAGTATATTGTAATGTGGAGAATAAGTATATTGTAATGTGGAGAATAAGTATATTGTAATGAGAGAATAAGTATATTGTAATGAGAGAATAAGTATATTGTAATGAGAGAATAAGTATATTGTAATGAGAGAATAAGTATGTGGAGAATAAGTATATTGTAATGTGGAGAATAAGTATATTGTAATGAGAGAATAAGTATATTGTAATGAGAGAATAAGTATATTGTAATGTGAGAATAAGTATATTGTAATGTAATGAGAGAATAAGTATGTGTAATGAGAATAAGTATATTGTAATGAGAGAATAAGTATGTTGAGAAATAAGTATATTGTAATGAGGAGAATAAGTATATTGTAATGTGGAGAATAAGGAGAATAAGTATATTGTAATGAGAGAATAAGTATATTGTAATGTGGAGAATAAGTATATTGTAATGAGATATTGTAATGAGAGAATAAGTATATTGTAATGAGAGAATAAGTATATTGTAATGAGAGAATAAGTATGTGGAGAATAAGTATATTGTAATGAGAGAATAAGTATATTGTAATGAGAGAATAAGTATATTGTAATGAGAGAAGAAGTATATTGTAATGTGGAGAATAAGTATATTGTAATGAGAGAATAAGTATATTGTAATGTGGAGAATAAGTATATTGTAATGAGAGAATAAGTATATTGTAATGAGAGAATAAGTATGTGGAGAATAAGTATATTGTAATGAGAGAATAAGTATATTGTAATGAGAGAATAAGTATATTGTATATTGTAATGAGAGAATAAGTATATTGTAATGAGAGAATAAGTATATTGAATAAGTATATTGTAATGAGAGAATAAGTATATTGTAATGAGAGAATAAGAATGTGGAGAATAAGTATATTGTAATGAGAGAATAAGTATATTGTAATGAGAGAATAAGTATATTGTAATGAGAGAATAAGTATATTGTAATGAGAGAAATGAGAGAATAAGTATATTGTAATGAGAGAATAAGTATTTTGATGATGTATATTTCATAGAAACTTAGAAAAATTACAAGTCAGATTTTGCACTTTAAGTCTCACACTTTGATCTTATTCTGTTTGATGACAGAAGATATTTTTGGTTTTGTCATACATTTTTTTTATATTTTTACCAGATTTTTTCATTTTCTTTTTGTCTATTAGTGCATCTCCTAATTTTGTTGTACTTTGTTGTTCTTATGTTATGTGAATGATTTGAATGATAAATAACCAATCCTTATTTACAACTTTTGTCAAAAGCATGGAAGTTCTGGCATGAAATACTTATTTTTAGAACTAAACGTTTCTAGGTGATCTGCAAGTTGCTTCTAGTGCTCATGTATATGAATGTGAAAGTATTTTCTTGATACAACCATACAACATTAAGACTGTTGAGTTACCCTATCTGTGACTGACACCTGGACTTGATGCCAGAGGGCATCACGGGAACACGTCAATTATCATTTAGAGAGAAGCTATGTTAAATGTCACAATATGTTTGTCATTGTATTGATTCTTAACTAAGGAGTCAGGGTTTTGTATCACCTGTATTTGATTGTTCCTAAACTGGTATGTACCTGCTGTGGCAGTATATTATATACAGCACATGTATGATTCAAAGCATTTAGTTGTGATCAAGCCTTTATTGATGATGCTGTGATGTATAGTTTGAATCCAGAGGTGAGTATGTCTGGGTTGGTCAGTATTCAATATTGTGTAAGTCTTAGACATGTATATCTGAAGGCCTCAATATCAACCAGGTAAAGCTGGGAACCTAAGACTCAAATACACACATTTCATTAAAAGGGGACATCCTTGTAGAACGAATTTCCTGTGTCATTTCTTGCAAGTATTTTGAATGTTCACCCAAGGTAAGCCCTGTGTACCTCATTGCCCATCATGCACATTGTTTCAGGGTGTACAACATCGGTATAGAAGTGAGCCCAGGCCGGGGGAACTACAGGGACACCAACATTGTAACATTTGCTCCTAGATATGTCATTGACAACCAGTCACAGAGAACACTGTCCATCGCCCAGAAACACTACACAGAGAAACAGGTAGGACGTACCTTTTGCTGCTGATGGTGGAGTAGACAGATGGTAAAAGCAGGGCTTCTGTCCGTGCATCAGATAAGGTTAATGGCAATGATTATACACTGTGGAGTCATGTTTAGCACTATACCCTCACAGGGTCTTTTTCAATACCCAGTAATATGTCAGGTGAGAAGTGAGAACGAGGGGTCACTGTGTTCATTGTCATTATTATAATTATATTATTCAGTTGAGCTCAGAGGAGTACTTGACCGCACTGCCAAACTGCAAGCTGCCCTTCCACTGGCCACGCCAGGATTTGGACCAGCTGTTGTGTGTCCTGATGCTGGATGCAGTGGGCTGCAACTGGTCAGGGGGCTTCAGGATCGACAAGGTCAACTCATTCCACATCAACATGAGGTGTGTTTCTTATATTTATTCACTCTCATTCATTCATTCATTCATTCATTCATTCATTCATTCATTCATTCATTCATTCATTCACTCACTCACTCACTCACTCACTCACTCACTCACTCACTCACTCACTCACTCACTCACTCACTCCTATAAATATCCCTCTGGGTTGTAGAGATGGCCAAGGAGATTGCCTGCTGCTGAAGGTGGAGGTTGTACTCCAGGGACCGACATTCTTCATCATGTTTGCTGATGCTGACATCCAGCCGCCACCATTCCGAATAGACAACCTGTCAGAGGTAGGTACAACAGCTTCAGAAGCAGGGATCACAAAAGGTCCTCAGTATTGCTTCTTACTGGATCATGTAGTCAATGTTGATGACTTGGTCTGTGCCTCCTTGTTACTGAAACTGTTTGTTTTTTCATAGGTCCCAGTGTATTTCAACCAAGCGAAAACAAGCCAAGCCAAGTTCCGCACGCTCCTGAAGCCACATTCCAGCAGTAAGCAGCAGTCTTTTATGACCACCTTTTGATATTTTGATATTTTTACTATTCCTGTTGAAACACATGGCATGGAAGCTCTTAGGTCAGTGTTTAACTTTAATCTTACAAGTTGATCGAGTTATTGTCTTGGTTTTGAGTAAGCTATGCCTTCATCTGTCTGACAGTGTCCTATGCATGGGATGAGCCGACACTGGAGCCGTTCCTGACACTGCAGATCCAGGGTGGCCAGTCTGCTGACTACAACATGAACAAGCTGGAGGAGGAACATCAACTGTGCTACGAGAACTTCCTCTATCTGGCAGTCACAAACACCTTTGACATGTATGATTTACTTGTGGATTTCAGAAACTATCTTGGAGTCACGACTGTCATAACTCGCATATTCCAGCAACTTCGGTAGTCTGTTGGATCTAAATCACTCCATGATTCTCAGAACAGAAAAAAAGAGATTCTTTGAAACAAACTAAATTTAGTATGCAGGTGGTACTTAACTGACATTTCTATTCTGATAAAATAATGCTGAAAATATTCTTTGAATCCTTACCTCCTCAACAGTTTTTCTTCATTGTGTCACAAGATTTGTTGCTGAGGAAATCATGCTTGTATTACAGGAACTGGAAGGGTCCAGAATCACACCTGGTCATAGACTGTGTGCATAACAACAATCTGGTCTTCAAGAGACAGGTGAGTGTGTTTATTCTCTTCGTACAAGACTGGTATCTATTCATACAATGTCACTCTCAGACCTCTTGTTCTACTGAAAATGGCCTCATGTGTAAAACGTTTATATTACGCTCTCTCACACATACCCTTCACTAACGTGATTTAGGAGAAAGGGAAGAGAGATCAGCTTTGGCGCATGACAAGTTCAGGGATGCTTGAACATGAGGGGTCAATGCCACCACGTGACCCCCAGAAGAAGTCGACGACGACACCCTACCCCGGCCTGGTGTTGGACATCAGGGACATCGCCCCCCAGCCAGGAAGGTGTGTACCGCTGGTGTTGAAGAAGCCAGATGAGAGGAGGAAGTCGACACAGACGTGGAGGTTTACAGAGGTATGTCTACTCCGGGTCAGCAGATTCTCTCCATGCACTTCCTTATGCTGGTGTTCCAAGACATGTCAGGGGTGTGTAATATTAGGGACACCATTAGGACATACAGTCAGGCCGCGGTAATCCGGTCCTCGTTAATCCGAATCCCCTGACTTCCGAACGCTACTCACCGGGCACCAAATCATCTCCCTATATATTGTTTATAATTGACACCTCATTAGTCTGATGATTCAGTTTCCACCTCTGAACGCTGGTCAGTCGGAACGGATTGGACTAATTAAGTTGTAAACAGCTGCGTTAATCCGGACACATGCTTCGGCAGCGGGTCCACAATAACATTGTCAAAGAGCAAAGTAACGATGTAAATTGAATAAACTAATGAATAAAATCCATAATTTACGTATAGGTACCGATTTCTTGCTTAATATGTTCAAAATAGCATTATTTTACCCAAAACTTTCGTCTAAATCTAAAAGTTTTCGTTTACGAGGATACCATTGCCGTAATATGATTGGCTGCCTTAGGTCACGTGTCTGATTTTGACCAATCACGACCCTTATAGCAGACTGTAGCGAAAAAGTGTCATTAGAAACCAATTTTTATCCAATAATATCGCTTCTTACAACTGTGAAAATACTCTCGGCAAGGGTTCAGTGATGTTGTTGATGTTCAGAGCTTTCGAACGATACCCGACATCAAACGATTCGCCTCCCATGTTATTCATACGACGCTTCGAAAACGGAGGTATTTTCCGTTGTTATGTCAAGTTACCGAGCGGAAAGCCACAGATATCGGGAAATAGGCGACCATACATATTATTTAAGAAATCTTTTTATAATAATTTTCTGATGACGTAAAAATGAAAATAAAAGGGAAAGGCACAGGCATGTTATGACATGTCACAAATGGAAAAAAATCGCCATAGTTTTTGAATAATATTATAAAAATAAACTTCATATTTATCAACAGTAGGATTAGATCTTTTAAATGGTGTATGGGATGTAGTAGCAATAACATTTTACAAGCTTATAATTTCCTTCATAAACATAGGCTTCATCTATGACCTCAGAGTCTCGATAGTAAGGAAAGATATCAAGGGGAAGTAACTCGGTGCATATACTGTGGTTTCAGCAGTACAAACGTTTCACTATCCGAACGTTTTTTTTAAAAAACCAAAGTGTTCGTATTAACGAGGTCTGACTGTATACAACAATACAGAGGTGGTATTCAGCTGCTCAAGGACATCATCTCAGTTCTATACTTCTTTCTACTGTCCATTAAGTGAACTTTACCTACAGTCCGTTTGGCTCAAAAGCGGACCGATGAATTGCAATCTAACTCAAAAACTAATAAACATAAAATACTCAATGAAATGCTGATCATAATCAAAACATCATACCCACTCTGTGAGGTTTTTGCAGAATTTATGTCCTAAAATTAAAAAAGTTGTTTAACAAACTATCATTAAAATATTGACACAGTTCACTGTTTGTTACGAGGGAGGAGTGCAGAGAAAGGGACAGCCAGGTGTTCGAGAAGCACGTTCACAGACAAAGTTATTTATTCATTAACCTGTGCTGTGCCGTCTCCATCCGTTCTCGAACACCTGGCTGTCCCTTTCTCTGCACTCCTCCCTCGTAACAAATAGTGAACTGTGTCAATATTTTAATGATAGATTGTTAAACAACTTTTTAATTTTTAGGACATAAATTCTGCAAAAACCTCACAGAGTGGGTATGATGTTTTGATTATGATCAGCATTTCATTGAGTATTTTATGTTTATTAGTTTTGAGTTAGATTGCAATTCATCGGTCCGCTTTTGAGCCAAACGGACTATACCACGGACCTGATAACTGCATAGATGTAATTAGTCTATAGACTAGTGTTCGCAGATTTGTACACCGATTTCTGATACTGTAATCCAACAATGTGGTCAGTTAGGCAATTCCATCAAATATTTGTGAACTTATCTCTTTCTTCCTCACCTTCCACCCCATCCCTCCACTGTTCCCTGCTGTATGGTGGTGTTTGTGTTGTAGGATGGTCGACTCTGCTGCAGTGCTGGGACTCTCTGTGTCCAGTCAATAGACGGTGTCCGGGGACTGCAAGATGGTACATGCTCTGCCATATGTGAATTGAATAACAGATGCAAAGAATTAAAAAACACTAAGGGTTTAGTTAAATCGCAGACATTGTAGGTTTTCTTCTTTAATACAAGTCATCAAAGTAGAGGCATCCTCGTCTGTGTACCAATTAGTTCATCCTGCCTCCTCAGTATGTGTATCAACTGTTGACTGCCGCAGGTGCGATTGCTGTGCTGGGTCCCTGGCAGTCACAGGGGGAGAGTGAGGCTCCGATCCCGACCCCATCCCACATGCAGATATCTCGCAGCAAGCTTCGCCCTGGCTCAGGAGTGCTGGTCATCAGAGTGAAGATGGAGGGGCCTATCCGTGTGCTGCAGATCTCCGACAGACAGCAGGCGGTAAGTTGTATATCTAGGTGTCTGAGCTTCTTCGACAGACAGTTAGATTTGCCCCAGGCTTCTTCAACAAAACAACACAAAACCAATGAAAGATAAATGTTTTTATCAAGACAGTGTGAAGACATGACATTGACATTTTTGCTTAATTAATAGTAGTAACTGTCTGACTGGGAAGAACAGCGCTGACTATTAACCAATGAACTATTGTGTTCGACTTATATAACCCAGATATTTATGAGCAGTGTCTGATTCACTGTTGTTTGACTCCAGAGTCTAAGCAGGAGGACGGTTGGGGAGTGGGAGGTCTATGACCATGTACAGAAAGACAAAAAGAGTCCGGGATCACCCAAGGCAGAACTTGTTCCCAACCAGAACATGGAGGTCATTTTCAACCTTAAAGGAGGACTTGGGGTATCTCTTGTCAACTCTGTACCCGAGGAACTTGTCTATATATCCCTCTCAAACATCACTGTGGAGCTGACCTCTAAAGTTGACCTCATGACCTTGGACCTCAGTGTGGGAGAAGTTCAGGTAAATGACTTCTTGGGCTGCATCGTCAGTCTTGTAGTATTTGCTTATGTGCGAAAAAAATCAACTTCTTCTGTTATGTAATACAAGAATACATAGCCAGAATGAGAGATTGCTTTAGACATATCCTTGAGGTTCAGTGCTGACTTCCTTGCAGATTGACAATCAGTTTCTGGGTGCTCAGCGTCCTGTGATGATGTATGTGACGCCGATGTCTCGTAAGGACGTCCCTGATAACACACCAGCTCTCCACATCACAGCTCACAAAGTCCCGAGCACCAAGTGGAATGCCGACATCTTCAAGGTACACAAATGAAGGGCAGCGTTGGTACAGTGTTCTTGACTTTAGAAATACACTGCACAGAGTTGTGTCCCTTATTGGTGGCAGGAGCAGCTGTGCATGGGTCCAAATCCTTGATCATTGGTTGTCAGCATTGGTACTCATGCATCTTGATGTCTCTATGTCAACGTGACCTGCATCACTTTAGGCTTTCCTTCTATATCAGTCTCACTTTCATAACCAACAGTTCAAGTTGGTGTAAAGCCAAATACTCAATCAAAACATACTTTAACATGGCCTACTCAGTGTCTTGTATCTGTTTAACTATGTAAGCATTGCTCATGTGAATACATAGATCTGTTCCTGTGCTTATGTATTTTGTTCCATGTTCCAGCACCTATATGTATCGAACAAGAAGATGACAGTTCACTTGGAGGAGATGTTGCTATGGAAACTAATAGAGTTTTTTGGCTACCACAAAGCTGATGCCAACATACAGACACTGGAGGACAGTTTTGACACACACAGGTGAAGGACGTGTCCATTAGCAACAGAAGCTACACTTGCAAGAATAGGATAACAATAAGTTGCAGGCAGAGCAGGATGACTTTCCTGTTTCACGCATGATTTCTTTTGTTACAGCCCAGGGCCCCGTTTCACAAAGCTCCTGTAAGCCTAAGATCTTGTAACTTTTCTCATAGCATTTGTACTTCCTATACTGTAACATTGACTTACGATACTCATAGTGCTACGAGAGCTCGTGAAACGGGGCCAGGAAGCTCCTATCACGAAGCAACCTTTACTAAGGTTAACCGTAACTCCTATTCTTTAACATTGTGACTTACGGTCACCTTAGTGATTTGTGAAAGGAGGCCCAGGTTAGACTAGGTTGCCAGCTTTCCCAAATGTCAAGGATCTTTGCTGGTATTATCACTGGATAGTCTTAGCTAAAATATTACAGGGTGTTGTTAGATCAAAAACAAGCAACTTGAAAAGACTGACCAATTAATTAGTATAACAGTCAAAGACTGAATGTCTTTGGAGGTACTTAGTGACAGTAAAATGATGTGAGGTGAGGTATTTGGGGTGAAAATTTACTAACATTAAATTATTACAGCCTGAAATAAACTTACGATAATGACAACTCCCATTACTCTATGGTAATAGTTGAGCCTGACAGAGGAATGTGCTTCTTGTTTCAGAGTGCTATCTGCTGCCAATTCTATCCAGGCAAAGCGGTACTACTTTGGTGCCTTGAAGCTGAGCGTCAGCCGCATCACCCTCAGCATGGTGACCACCAGCAAACTTCCTCCCAACCTCAAGGCCATCAAACATGCACAGTCTACTACACTTGTAGCATTTGAGGATGCCAAAGTTGATTTGTGTAAGTAGTTTTATTGTGTGACCTCAAGATGTTTGTGTCGAAGTACCTCGAGGTGTACTGGGCAATAACCTACAGTTTCATGGAATAAACTTGAGGCGTATCAGCCAAGACAGTTAGTTTTATGGTGGGACATGGCAGACATGATTTCTGATGTCTCCCGAATGATGTAACATGAGCTGATATGACTCACTACATAGGCACCCAATCCTTTGGCATGTTTCAGATCCATATGTGAGGAATCATCCTTTTGAGACGAGTTCCTTCCTCATCAGCGAGATCATGAACCACTACACAGAGGTAAAGTTTCCATCTACACATGGTAAATGCATCATTGACAAAGGACAGAGTGACTGAATGAGTTTGGTTTCACACCGCTTCTAGCAATATTCCAGCAATATCACGGTGGGGTGACACCAGAAATGGGCTTCACACATTGTACCAAGGACTGGGAATTGAACCCGGATCCTCGGCCTGATGAGCAAACTCTTTACCCACTAGGCTGCGACCGCCACGACAAAGGACAGAACAGAAACATATCCTGTGACAAATGTTATCTGTTATCGTTTTTCCAACTAAACTTTTTTATGTTGCCAGGAGTTGAAGAGCCAAGCTGCCAAGATCCTTGGATCTGTTGACTTCCTAGGCAACCCCTTGGGGCTGTTCAATGATGTGACAGAGGGCATCTCTGGGCTCATCAAAGATGGCAATGTTGGGGGCCTCCTCAAGAATGTGGCTCATGGTGTGTCAAACTCGGCTGCAAAGGTAAAGCTATATAGAATAACTTACAAGCTACAATAACTTTTGAAATGTCTTGAGGGCATAATTTTGTAATTCCAAGCCTTGGTGAAGACCACACTTTCAACATGACTTCAATAGGGACATATCTTAGCCATACAGACATGGGTGGGTGTCGGATATATCAGATTGTATCTTAGCCATACAGACATGGGTGGGTGTCGGATATATCAGATTGTATCTTAGCTGTACAGACATGGGTGGGTGTCTGATATATCAGATTGTATCTTAGCTGTACAGACATGGGTGGGTGTTGGATATCTTAGCCATACAGACATGGGGTGTCCGGATATATCAGATTGTATCTTAGCCATACAGACATGGGTGGGTGTCGGATATATCAGATTGTATCTTAGCTGTACAGACATGGGTGGGTGTCGGATATATCAGATTGTATCTTAGCCATACAGACATGGGTGGGTGTCTGATATATCAGATTGTATCTTAGCCATACAGACATGGGTGGGTGTCGATATATCAGATATATCTTAGCTGTACAGATTGTGGGTGTTGGATATATCAGATTGTATCTTAGCCATACAGACATGGGTGTGTGTCCGATATATCAGATTGTATCTTAGCCATACAGACATGGGTGGGTGTCGGATATATCAGATTGTATCTTAGCCATACAGACATGGGTGTCGGATATATCACATATCTTAGCCATACAGACATGGGTGGGTGTCCGATATATCAGATTGTATCTTAGCTGTACAGACATGGGTGGGTGTCCGATATATCAGATTGTATCTTAGCCATACAGACATGGGTGGGTGTCGGATATATCAGATTGTATCTTAGCCATACAGACATGGGTGGGTGTCTGATATATCAGATTGTATCTTAGCCATACAGACATGGGTGGGTGTCCGATATATCAGATTGTATCTTAGCCATACAGACATGGGTGGGTGTCCGATATATCAGATTGTATCTTAGCCATACAGACATGGGTGGGTGTCCGATATATCAGATTGTATCTTAGCTGCACAGACATGGGTGGGTGTCCGATATATCAGATTGTATCTTAGCCATACAGACATGGGTGGGTGTCCGATATATCAGATTGTATCTTAGCTGTACAGACATGGGTGTCGGATATATCAGATTATATCTTAGCCATACAGACATGGGTGGGTGTCCGATATATCAGATTGTATCTTAGCTGTACAGACATGGGTGGGTGTCCGATATATCAGATTGTATCTTAGCCATACAGACATGGGTGGGTGTCCGATATATCAGATTGTATCTTAGCTGTACAGACATGGGTGGGTGTCCGATATATCAGATTATATCTTAGCCGTACAGACATGGGTGTCCGATATATCAGATTGTATCTTAGCTGTACAGACATGGGTGGGTGTCCGATATATCAGATTGTATCTTAGCTGTACAGACATGGGTGGGTGTTGGATATATCAGATTGTATCTTAGCCATACAGACATGGGTGGGTGTTGGATATATCAGATTGTATCTTAGCCATACAGACATGGTGTGTCCGATATATCAGATTGTATCTTAGCTGTACAGACATGGGTGGGTGTCCGATATATCAGATTATATCTTAGCCGTACAGACATGGGTGGGTGTCGGATATATCAGATTGTATCTTAGCTGTACAGACATGGGTGGGTGTTGGATATATCAGATTGTATCTTAGCCGTACAGACATGGGTGTCCGATATATCAGATTGTATCTTAGCTGTACAGACATGGGTGGGTGTCCGATATATCAGATTGTATCTTAGCCGTACAGACATGGGTGTCCGATATATCAGATTGTATCTTAGCTATACAGACATGGATGGGTGTCCGATATATCAGATTGTATCTTAGCTGTACAGACATGGGTGGGTGTCCGATATATCAGATTGTATCTTAGCTGTACAGACATGGGTGGGTGTCCGATATATCAGATTGTATCTTAGCTGTACAGACATGGGTGGGTGTCCGATATATCAGATTGTATCTTAGCTGTACAGACATGGGTGGGTGTCCGATATGTCAGATTGCATCTTACCCGTACAGACATTGGTGTCAAATATATTTCCTTTTGGGTATGGATATCAAGTTATATATTACCCCAATGGATTAGCTTGTCAGATATATCATGTTATGGAGTTTCCAAACAGACACTGGTGTCAGTGGTCTAAGAATCGCAGAAATACAAGAATGGGCTGTCCATGTGTGACTATATGCTTGTGTTGTGTGTCTAGGTGGCGGGGTCTCTGTCGGACGGCCTGACCACAGCTTCAATGGATGAGAACCACAAGGAGACTGCGGAACCTCATCCGCCAACAGACCAGCTCTTCAGGGGACCACCTGATTGCTGGCATGAAGGGTCTCGGCTATGGAATCTTTGGTGGGATCACCAGCGTCTTCACTCAGCCAATAACTGGCGCCAAAGCTGAGGGCGTTGAGGTAACAACTGTTAGAAGAAGAATATGTTATCGAGCTTGTGTATAGTTTTGGCTAGTGTTTAGAGGATGTGTGATAGTGTTGTACGTCCTGGCCAGAAACTGTTGAATCGACAGAAAAATACTTTAGTGTTGAGTTTTTGTAAGTTATCTGAAATGAATAAGCATGACCTTGGAGGATAGGTGGAAAAGATTTTGAAATGAAAGTTTAAGCTGCATGACTTTGTGTTGAAGCTCACTATAGTGTGGCTTGGTTTTGCAGGGTTTCTTCAAGGGTGTCGGGAAGGGTGTGATCGGCACAGTCACCAAGCCAGTTGCCGGGGTCTTGGACCTGACTTCTGGTGTTGCCAATGCTGTCCGCGACACTAGTCGGAGCTCGTCCCGGCAACTGCCTCCCAGGGTACGCCCCCCCCGCAGCTGCCAGGGTCCTGGGGGACTTCTCCCTCCATTCTCCAGCCAACAGGCAGAGGCCCTGCGGCTCCTCTACTTGCTCAATGATAATGACTTCTCAGAATTGTAAGTATGGTATCCATACATGGTGCTGTACACAAACTTGCATTTGTAATTGTGTATGGAAATATTTCACATGTAACATGAATGTTTGTTCATCTGAGGTACATCAATTTGCTGTGCAGGGTTACTTCCCTTGGGGATGCTGGATCCTATTATTGTTGGTTCACCCTTATCCTTGCTTGTTAGAGTCAGTATCAATACACACGAGGCAAGATAGGCAGACAAAACAGTTGAGTAAACAAAAATACAATAAATACAATAAATACAACACTATTTCAAACATGTTGGATACTGTTTCCACAGTCAAGATACAAGAGAATCAGCCAAAATGCCTTGAATCCTGTCTGGCAGAGGAATATAATACGTTGAAGGGCTGTTTCCCAAAGCGATCTATGCATCGTACCTCCTGTGCTTATACATAGACTTAGTGTAGTCACTCTGAGAACTTCAACAAGAGTCTCTACATGTTGCTGTGACCACCTCAGTGGTCTTATGTGTCTACCCAGAGAGTGGTAGGTCAATAATTCAATTTGGCTAGGTCATACAATGCACCATCTTGAATGCAGTGTCAAATCCCATTTCGACTCACCTTTATGTTGTACTGTGTTAATGCTGAGTATGTGTACAGTGTGAAGAGACAGGTGTATCTGTTTGTCCTCAGTCCTATAGCCCTGGAGCAGATGCGGGGGGACGGCACCCAAGGACTCCCTCCATGTCCTCATCACCTCTAGACAGGTGTACTTCCTGCGCAAACCATCCGGGCAGGAGGAGGATGTTGTCCTTGACATCCTACACAAGGACCTCATTCGCTGTAATGTGCAGGAAGATCGTGAGTAGTTTGGGGGACACATTTTTATCCCCCGCAGCGCATTTTGCAGGGGTATTAAAATTGACTCTGTCCGTCTGTGTGTGTGTGCGTCCGTCCGTCCATCCGTGCTCATTTGTCTTTTCCGAGCAGAACTCTAAAACCGTTCAATATTTCTTCACCAAACTTAGCACATACATGGATCTGGTGGTGTGCTGGTGCCTTTTGGTAGTTTTGGAAATCAGAATAAAATATTTTTTGGCGTTTCCATGGCAACAAGTTTGACTTAGACTGAAATTTGTGGTAGTGTTCTTTTCCAGAGCAGAACTCTAAAACCGTTCAATGTTTCTTCACCAAACTTGGCACATACATAGATCTGGTGGTGTACTAGTGCCTTTTGGTAGTTTTGGATTTCTGAATAAAATATTTTTGGCATTTCCATGGCAACAAGTTTGACTTAGACTGAAATTAGTGATAGTGCCTTTCAATACTCTCCTTCCACTTTTCTATATACACACCTAAATATTTGACATAATCATAACTCGTAGACATAATCATGAAGAGTATTTTGCCATTGTGGGGGATATTGATGACTTTGTCTTCTTGTTCTTTTTTGTTAAGAGACACTTTCCTGCAGTAATTATCAGATTAAGTCACACAGATTTGTCTTGAAATACTAGACTTTGTACTTTATATGTGCAATTTCAGCAATTTTATCTTTCTGAGATTGATTTCCGAACATTATGGAGCAATTTAACAGAATTAGGCAGTGTCCACCAACATTAAATAGTGTATCTGAGATACCTGATTGGACTAAGTTTGCTGAAAGATTAATTAGATTAGACCAGTGAAGCAGATATGGTATTATTGACAATGTTTAGGGGATGATGTAAAGCATGATTGAAGCATAAATATATTCTCTTCTTTGCATCAATATCAGTCTTTTTGAACCTGGAGCATGTACATGATTTTCATCATCTAGCAAATACTAGTGTTTTGTGATATCATCTTTAATTCTAGCTACATGCTTGCGTGTTTGCTTTCAGGCCTTTTCATCCTGTTCGGTCTGTGGACAGAGTATTCCACGGGCCGACAAGGCATGACATGTGCGTCGCCTGTCTAGAGAAGACTGGCCATGACGCTGACACATGTACCATATGTCTTGGGTTTTCCACCGGGCCCAAAAGCGGAGGGCGGCGGACACACTATCTACAAAGAAATGCGAGGCGGGGTGGGGAACTGACGCCAGGTCCCCGCCTAAGTCCAAAGCGTAAGGGAAAAAATCCCAAGCCAAACCCCTCTCCGCTAGTACTGGTGGTTTTGATATGACACTAATGGACAAATTGTTTCAGCAGCATATGGACTCTGTGAAGTCCCTCGCTCGTGAGTCTGTTGAGGTCTCCGCCAGGAGTTCCTCGCTCACTCCGGACGGGGGGCGGAGAGTCAGGGGTGGATCGCCGGGCTCGGCTCGATCCCTCAGCCTTGAGGCGCCTGTAGACCCGTTGCCTCTGGCAGCGTATTTTCGGCGCATACCGGACCTACGAGGGAGGTCTACCGAACGCCCGCAGCAGGTCAGGGTGGTGGTCCGCATAGGGCCTCTCCTCTCCTCGACTCGATTCAGAGGAACTTCGGCCCTGGAGGCGAGGGCATGCTGGCGGCGTTTCCGCCGCATGTCGTTGGTTGCTCCCGTCAGCTCGGAAGTGCAGGCACACCCCTGCGCTAGCGACTCTTTGCGGTCTGCTGCGTCGACGGTGATGTGCGCAGTCATGGGGATCGCGCAGGCTGTGGCTGTCGACGTCTCGGTACTGGCAGCGGCGCAGCAGACCTTGCTGGCCCTCCCTTTCCGTCCTGGGAGCGACCCTCTTTCCAGGGGCCCAGCAGGTCATAATGGGAGGCTGCAGCTGCAGCGACCTCCTTCAAGGATTCTAAGGCCTTGTTGGAGCACCCAGCGGTGTCTCGCCCAAGCCTCCCGCTCCACCTTCCTCCGCCCGGTGCAGCCTACACCGAAGTCTGCCGCTGTCTTCGCCGCTTGGTAGGGGTAGGCGGAGGAGCAGGTCCGCCAAGGGTCTGCCGGCTGGCTTCGGCCGCTTGGTAGGGGTAGGCGAGAGAGCAGGTCCGCCAAGGGTAGGGGCAAGGAGCAGTCCTCGACTAGCTCCCAGCCTTTTGGCGCTGGAGGTCTGCCCGACCTCCCGCTAACCCATCAGGCTGCCGCCAAGCCGTGGTGTCACACCCAGTCAGCTCCGCTGCTCGACAACGACGCCGCTTCCTACCCCATATCCCAGTGGGAGGTCGCCTTCTCTATTCCTGCCGGAATGGGAGAAGGCTACCAACAATGCTTGGGGTGCTGGCCACTGTCAGCATCGCCATTTACCACTGTGGAAGCGAGGTCCGCCTCGACTTCACCGCATACGCCGACTCCGTGCCATGTGTCAGGCAAGGGCGACATATTGCGCGACGGTTCAGGCTCTGCTGGACAAGTCCGCGAATCGAGCGCATTCCACCGGAGAGGAACAGGCGGGATTTTACTCCACGTATTTCCTCGGGTCCCGAAGAAAGACGGGCGGGTTCCGTCCGATTCTCAACCTCAAGGGGTTGAATCGCATGCTCAAGTACCATCCTTCAAGATGGAGACACTGCGCCGGGTGATCTCATCTGTTCAGCCCGGGCGATTGGCTCACGCCAATCGACCTAAAGGATGCGTGATCTGCATGTGCCCATACATCCATCGCTCAAGCAGTACCTTCGGTTCTCTTACGACGGGATGTGTTACCAATTCAGGGTGCTCCCCTTCGGCATATCGACTGCCCCAAGGGTGTTCACCAAGCTCATGTTAGTCCCGCTACCCCCGCCGCCGCTCGCCAAGGAAGGCGCTTGTCACCCTTACCTCGACGACTGGTTGCTCGGAGCACTAACACAGCCTGCGAAGTCTAGATGCTACTCACACAGTGATAGACATTCTAACTCGACTGGGTGGATCATCAACCTCAAGAAATCCGACCTGGTACCCACCCAGGACTTGGTTTTTCTTGGAGCGATTCCAAACGAACAAGGATCTCGCTTTCCTTGTCGCCTCCGACCGATCACCAGAGTTCGAGATGGTATCTTCGTTCTCTCCCAGCCCCAGGCACCAGCACGGACTTGGCTCCATCTACTGGGCCATATGGCGGCGACGATCTCTGTAGTGTGGCGGGCGCTGTTGAGGATGCGTCCCCATACAGCAAGCTTTGCCTCGGCTGTGGACTCACACGGAGGATCTGGAGCGCAGTCTCACAGTCCCCGAAAGTGGTTGACACCTCACCTTCAGTGGTGGACAAATGTCGGAATCTCACCAGGGGATCCCCTTGGAAATCCCGACGCCAGCTCTCACAGTTCAGACCGATGCGTCCCTCACGGGCTGGGGTGTTCTGGGCAGTCTGTCGGCGTCCGACTCTGGTCCGGGCCGGGCCCACCTTCACATCAACGTGTTGGAACTGAGAGCTGTGCGGTTGGTATTCGAAGCGCCCAGAGAGCATGTCCGGTGGCCAGGTAGTCCGCCTTCAGTTGGACAACCAGACGGCCATGTCGCATATCCTGAAGCAGGGAGGCACGGTGTCCCCAGCCCCGGGAGGCGTGGGACTTTCTCCTCTGGTGCGATCAGTGCGACTGTCAGGTACTCCCTGTTTATCTCCCCGGGCTGGAGAACGTATGCAGCAGATGCGCTTCGCGCCGATTCTGGCCCCGCGACGAAGTGGATGCTCGACAGGCAGATTTTCAGAGTAATCTCCCAGTTGTACGGGTCGCTCCAGGTGGATCTGTTTCGCCCCGGCGGGACGCAGCAGACACCCGTTTCTGCTCTCGGATACCGACCCAGGGCGCTGGCTGCCGACGCCTTTCCTGCTGGATTGACGGGCAAAGTGCTCTGGGCCTCCCGCCGCTACCACTCATTCCCCGCGTGTCCTTTCACAGCTGTCCACCCAGCCAGCTCGGCTACTTGTGCTACTGGCACCGCTTTGGCCGTCACAGAGCTGGTTTCCGTAATTCTCAGGTTTCTGGCTCAGCCTCCTGTTCTATTACCTTTACGAATCGACATTCTCACTCAGAACGGAGGGCCCCACCCAAATCCACGGATTCAGTGGGTGGCTTGGCCTCTGTCAGGTCTAACCTCGAGGCACGCTGAATTCCTGCAGCAGTTGCAGACACAATTCTGGCTTCGAGGCGGATTCGACAAACGCTCAGTATGAGGATAGGTGGTCCCGCTTATGCGCGCTGGTGTTCAGATAGGGGATTGCAGATCCCTTTTCTGGCGGATTTAGTCCGAGTATTGGAGTTTTGCAAGCTCGCTTTGGAAGAAGGCCTGGCGGCTTCACCATTCGTGGGCTACTCCACCGCTATTTCCACTTTTCACACCCCTGTCGATGGTGCTCTTCTGGGGCAGCACCCTCTCGCACAGCTTTCTTGCTGGCGCTGAACGGATTCGACCTGCGCCAGGCGTAACCAGTCCACCTTTGGGATTTGTCAATTGTGCTAGATTGGCTGTCCGTCCAACTTTCACACCCTATCGGCTATTTCCATTCAGTTGTTAACTTGGAAAGCTGTTTATCTGGTGGCGTAACATCTGGACGTAGGGTCGGCGATTTACATGCTATGTCGTCCGACCGGGCGCTGACTGTGTTTCACACGGATCGTGGTCAGTATTCGGCCCCAGATACTTTACCGAATCGAAGGTCGATCACGCTTCCATGTGACAGCTCCTATCGAACTTCCTACTCTTACCCAGCCTTCCACATCGGGGACCACTCCTACGAGCACTCACCCGCTGGATGTCCGTGAAGACGCCAAAGTCTATATCAAACGAACGCAGGGAACTCCGTGGGGTACCCAGCTGTTCTGTTGTTATGGTGGCGGAAGGCTGGTGTGCCAGCGAAAGCAAGCAGACTTTGTCTCGCTGGCTAGTTTCGTATTTGTGCCGCTTTATCAGGCTAAGGGCAAGCCTCCCCTGAGGGGTTGAAGGCTCACTCGGTCAGGGCAGTAGCCGCATCAAAAGCCTTTTGCATCGGCTCTCCCTCATTGAAGAGATCTGCTCTGCCGCTATTTGGAGCCGCCAAGCACGCTTATACGGCACTATCAGCTCGATACACATTCCCGTAATCGCGGCGAAGCTTTGGCCGTTCTGTTCTCTCCAGTGGACAGTGTCCTGCCACCCTGACCGAAAGTGAGTCTTGGTTTATTGGTTTGATTTTTGACGCTGCTGTACAATAATTTGCGTATTATTGACATATCTGCTACTGTGAGCTAACTACATGTACCCCTTTTGATTCTCTCAGGAGTTATTTGTCGAATGTGAGCGGTATTTACATTCCCCCCTACGGTGCACACTAATAGACAAATGGTGGGTGGGGCTTTGTTGACATTCGCACTAACGTCGCGTTGTCTCACTATGCTAAATGGAGGTCGCCTTTGAGTACACTTCCTCCCTGTCAGTTCCCTCCCAGCATGCCTCTCGGAAGCTTAAACTGGGTCAAGTGACAGGTGAGTGTTATGGCATCTGTTCAATTTTTTCCATGATACGATCGCTATATTTGTGTGTGCTTGGACAGAATTCCCTCCTCCCTGGCCTCCGGTCTTTGGGAGTCTGTGTTTATGCATAATATGTACCCCAAGGACGATCTCTCTTAAAAGAATTAACCAAACCTGAAGAGGTTTTCAATTCTTTGAAGAGAGTCGCCCTGGGGTAGGGCCTCCCCCGCAATTCTGTTCACTGATATATTCAGCAGAAGGAATGATGATACGGGTCTAGGAGCCTACCCAGTTGGTGCGCATGCTAACGGGAGGTAACTCCGCGAGGTAGGGGCCATAATAATAAATAAAAGAGTTTATTTATTGTTCAATCTTTTTATTCAAAAAACATTGATACAACTGTCACAGGACATTTTTCAGCCGGAAAATGCATAATATGTACCCCAAGGACGATCTCTCTTAAAAAGAATTAACCAAACCTGAAGAGGTTTTCAATTCTTTGAAGAGAGTCGTCCTTGGGGTAGGGCCTCCCGCCTCCCCGCAATTCTGTTCACTGATATTTCAGCAGAAGGAATGATGATACGGGTCTAGGAGCCTACCCAGTTGGTGCGCATGCGCAACGGGAGGTAACTCCGTGAGGTAGGGGCCGTATAATAAATAAAAGAGTTTATTTATTGTTCAATCTTTTTATTCAAAAACCATTGATACAACTGTCACAGGACATTTTTCAGCCGGAAAATGCATAATATGTACCCCAAGGACGACTCTCTTCAAAGAATTGAAAACCTCTTCAGGTTTGGTTAAATTGATGGACAGGGATACTGTAAGCTAGAATAAGACTAGTGTGACAGTGTGGGCTATGAAATGTACATCTTGTCCCTGTGTTACAGCTGTGGGACGGCCAATTGACGCCACCACAGGTAAACCTGTCCCCAAACGCTACTACATCGAGCTGAGCATGAAGGCAGACAATGGAGGATCTGCCTCATCGGACAATATCAAGCGGCCGCAGGTGCGGTGTGAGCGTCACAGCGTGGCACTGAAGGTAAATACAAGATAATAAAAATATTAATTATGATTGATTTCTAAAGCACTTAGTATCAATTGACAGGTGCTCACTGGCACGACGACAAAGTTAAAACCAAATCCATGCACACACACATACACACAATCCTGAAAGTCTACAGGAATGCTGAGCGGAAGAGGTGGGTTTTAAGGAGAGACCTGTAATGTTGTTCTGTTTGGCACCACACACAAGACTGCAAGACTCTGAAATAACTTGAAATGTAGATGGAGACATAGATGGCCTTGTGTTTAAAGAGTTGTGATTTCTGTGCGGAGTTGAGTTCCAGAGATGTGCCTGGATCTGCTGAGGATTGATCATTGGTGCCTGTATTTACCTGATTATAACCTTGGGTGTGGCAGCAGTATGCTCATGGATTTTACTTTCTCCAGCTTTCAACTGATACTAGGTTACGTATACGGGCAATACTCTGAAGTGGTGATAAGACAAACTCACTCACTCACTCCATGACCTGAATGTCCAGCAGCCTTTCACAGCAGAGCCTGTCTTAATTATTTAACAAAAAAATTAAGGCATTGATAGTAAAAGTAGTGAAAATAAGGCAAGAATACTGATCTATAAAGCGAGATATTGTTTTCTCAGGTCAATAAAACCAATATCGAATCTCTACAAGAGTCTATAATTGTTTTACAAAACGGGTTTTAACATAAACTTTTAATGCACACACACTGTGCCATCTATCGAAAGTGATCTGATTGGTAGTGACGGGAAGCCCTTCTTACGAGATTCCTTGTCTATTTTTAGTAACCCAAGTCAATATCGTAATTTATCAGAAAACTCAAGTCAATATCGTGTTTTGTAGTCAATCATGTGACGGTATTTTGACCTATTGTGGTACAGGAAAAATACTACCTATATAATAAGTAGAGAATCTCACCCGAGTTTCTTTTTGATATCAAATATATCACCACGAGTTGATAAAGTTACAAATATCCGAGGCTTGCCGAGGATATTTTTACTTTTATCAACGAGTGGTTGACATGAGGTTGAGATTCTATTTATCATCAAAAATCAATCTTCATTAGTTTTCATTGAAAAAAGTACATCTCTGAAACACCATTCTGCCATTAGAATTGCAGTGCAGCGATGTCATAGCATTGTGACGTCATCGAGCTCATGACGTCATAGCATTGTCAGGGTATTGTACAAAATCTACTGTCAAAACAATATCCCCTAGGAGATATCGTTTGATCTCACTCAAGTGATATCTCCTGTGGAACACAGTTTTGGATGATAAATAAATGTATCTGCAAATGTGTATTGTTCTGTTTACAGGTGACCAATGAGATCAATTATGCAAAAGGTTTGTACGATGAGGTTGTCCACACGCTGCAGCCATTCCCATCAACAGATGACCTGGACATGTGATCTCACACAAACAATGATTGATGCACTACCGGGACACGCATATCCAATCAGAGTATTTTCAAGTTCATCACAAGTTGATGCTGATGCATGAGAACCACAAGATGCGCAATGATGTGATTTGAGACTGTGGTGTTCTGTGATGCTGGGTTATTGAGAACAGAGTTACTGATATCAGAACAAACAAACATGCTGCTGATGTGGGAAACGTCTCTATCCTCATGTTTCTGAACACCCGTAGGTAGTGGGATCTTCATACACAGGAGTGTGAAACTTGACGACATCTGAATCTAGTCAATGTATGACAATCAGAAAGTGCATGACCCTATACTTCTATAATATCACATCCTCTTAAACATGATGAACAAAACAGAGACAGAATGAAGACATCTGAAAACAAGGATGTGTGATGAACTCACACAGAGACATCATGATAACATCGGAGCGTAACAACCTGTGTCAGACTCACCCAGTGACATCCAAACACAAGAACCTGTTGCCAAACACCAGATGACATCCAAAGTGGGGAAACATTGTTCTAAACACAGGTCCTTCTGAGTTCTGGCCTGGTCATGATTGTTTCTGTCACGGTCGTTATTTGAATTTACTTGTAGTCACTACACCATGACACAGTACGTCACTGCTCAGCAGAACTAATGAAAACAAACACCAAAATAACAGAACAGGTTGTTTCTGCTGTCTAGTTTCATACCTATTTTCTCTTATTCTATGTGACTATATAAGTAAACAGGATCTAGTGAAAATGGCTATGAACAGAGCTTGCCAAGCAAGTGGTTGAGCTACTACTTGTTCACTAACTACTCGACAGCATTTAGTGATATGATCTTCCAGTGTAGCTATTGTACAGGACATGTTGGGTCTGTGTCAGCTAAATCACAGCTGTATGCAATATGTCAGTGTGCCCCAATAACCAGTTTGAATAGTCGTAAACAATTACCTAGCATAATATTCCTGCCCTAGTCCAATAGTACCAATAGTCAATAGCTTGTAGTGGTGAAGTGTTATTGTTGCCAAGGGAGGTAACTCTTGCAGGCAGCTTTATGGTAACTGCCATCCCCAGAGGAATGTCATGCTAGGCAGTGTTAGGCTGTGATGAAATCTAAAGTCGCACTGTAGTTTTCTATAATAATGGTAAAAATAATAATAATACTTATGCATTGGAACCTAGTTTACCCAAAGTTGTTGTTGTGAATGTTGTTAAACTTTGTGGTACAGATGAAATCCACATGGGCATAATTGCCAGCTTGTGGCTCTACACTGACTGTTGTGTATAGAGGTCCATTAGTGTCCTAGTTCAAGTGTGAAGCAGTGCAGGTGAGAAGCTACTTCCAAGATACACATCACATTTCAAACAAGGAAGTGTATTAATTCTCAGCAGACAGCCATTCATGTTGTGTTATAACTGTATACATCATCAACTTGCTATGACATCATCAACGGAGAATTGTGGATGATGCTTGTATAGAGCAGTCCAGCAGAAACCCCCAGCTGGAATGTTTCCTTTTAAATATGATAAAATCATTTTGATTTAAAATAATTTCAGAAAACTGCAAAATGTTTCTGCATGATAAGTACAGTGAATGAAATATGACTCCATAGGTACAAATGTATAAAGATCACCAGCCGTAAATTAAAAGGATGAATTAATGTATGTGATGTGGTAACAAAAGTGTCTGACATTAGCTTAAAAGCGATGTATTCTTTGTCATGATCTCAAGTTTAAATTAAAAAACATTCGGAGGGGGCCCTTAGATTCTAATACATACTGCCATAACTTGAGACACCCCATCAACACTGAAGATTTGCAGTTAGGTCAAGTGTGAAGAATTATGCCTGATGTTCAAACATAAGTCCAGACCAATTTGATAATCTGTTTTACAGAATTATGTCCCCCAAATATCAGAAGGCAGGAAGGAGGAAATGTGTTACTGGAAATATACGAATATTCAGTCATGTATAGCATGTATTTTCTAATTGTCACTATTACGGTAACACCTTGCTGGGGATTGTATGGAGGAAAAGCTTCAGTTGACATCTTTACTGGAAAGAATGAAAGAAAACAAACAGTTAATATTTCCTGTTACAGATTTTATACCAGAACTGCAATGGCAGATTTGTAGAGCATTTAATTACATTGATCTGGCCCCAAAAACCATAACTTTGTGATAAGATGTGAAAAGTTTGTGATGGTTTGATGAAGTATGCCATGATTAACTCCATATCATGCAGATCCATGCATCACAGAACAGATTCTTGTAACGCCACCATCTACCTACCTCCCTACATCAACAAGACAGAGGGCTTTCATTTGTATGCTTGTCACATATGTACATTGTTTCTTCCAAGTAGACGGGAGTTGTGCATAAATATGGTTCTGTAGATATATATGTACATAGAGCGAGGTAGAGTAGCATTGTACACTTGTATATATATCCGTCAGTATTGTGTGGCTACTTAAATGTTTGTATATAGTGTATAGTATTTATGAGCTGTAAACATAGAGCAAGGACATGGATTTCAAAGAATGAAACAGAATGGTCTCCAGAATGCCACTTAGATATACTACTCAACACAACTAAAGGAACATGCAGAATAGGAAAGATGTGTGTTGCAATACAGAATAGACATGACATCTCAGCTATAGTCATATCACACACTGAGTAGTATATAAATATTGTATTGATTTAGCACTAATCATGTGATGGAACCATGTTCTATGATTCTGAAACTGGATATAAAGACAATGTAAATAAAGACAATGAATGTTGGACATATTGACACCAGTGTGAGACGTGTGTATGGAAGGTTCACACTGGTGTCAATATGTTGTTAATCCCACCTGTAATTGAAGCACAAGTGGCCCGATGATTGATGCTGCCACAAACTGTGCCAACTGACAGGCTGAATGCCACCATTATATATCTGGTTAGGTGAGTGTCTGCTATACAGAGGGGATGGAGGTAGTCCATCATTGTGGTTTTCTCCTGAATATGTGACAGTGGAGTTGTCCATGTAGATGTCTGCTCATTGAGGAGTTTAGTGTGTTACATTCCATAGTGTATAGGGGACCAGTGACTTATTGTAGAGGGAGCTGCCTTACAGTCCACAACACACAATATCCACGATCCTCTCTCCATGCGCTATAGGGACACTGGTTTGTATCCAACATTTGCCTTGGTTGTGCCTGATCTGAGCCTTCCTCCACCCCATTCCATAGTAGCTGTAATACATGACAGTGTAAATATATATATTGAGTAATCGAGTGTTTAACTTTGTATAGTAGCGTATTTTAATCTTTCCCTACAATACAAAATTCTCAAAGCAGTAGGTGGAGAGAAACAAGGAAATACTGGCAATATTTGAAGGTGAGGAGGAAGTGGCTTACCTTGTATTTTGGTGGTGCTGATCCACACCTCTACAATATGTCACTGGTCTCTAGATGCCATATTTTGTTTTATGCATAAACCACATCTGTCTTTCCACAGAGTCTTTTAGAAGTGTATCATGTTCTGATGATTGGCACTGGTAGCATAGATATAGTGTAGAGCCTTTATGTGGAGAAATGGCTGACCAGGGTTACAACATGCTTACCAGTTACAAGGCAACTGAAGTACCAGATACAACTTTCTAAATGTGATTTCAGCAGGTTGGGTTTGGGAGTCTGACAAACTTCACAAGGAGTAAAGAGACTTTCATGATGAAATATGCACACATCACTCAGGATATGCTAGAACACAAGTGCCAATGTTATTATCATTATTTGTTTATATAAATCTAAGTTTTATCATTTCAATATTGTTTGGTGTTTGAATTGTTTTTGTTTCTAGTGCAATTGTGTATGGACAGTTTCTAGATTGCTGTTGGTTTTGTTTATTGTGTTTGTAGTGATATCTTGATTCAGCAGCCATGACATCAGAGTTGGTTTACACTGTCGGGGGCTGGCAGTGGGCCAGACACCTTGCAGTCTCCAGCCATGACATCAGAGTTGGTTTACACTGTCGGGGGCTGGCAGTGGGCCAGACACCTTGCAGTCTCCAGCCATGACATCAGAGTTGGTTTACACTGTCGGGGGCTGGCAGTGGGCCAGACACCTTGCAGTCGCCAGCCATGACATCAGAGTTGGTTTACACTGTTGGGGGCTGGCAGTGGGCCAGACACCTTGCAGTCGCCAGCCATGACATCAGAGTTGTTTACACTGTCGGGGCCAGGCACCTTGCAGTCTCCAGCCATGACATCAGAGTTGGTTTACACTGTCGGGGGCTGGCAGTGGGCCAGACACCTTGCAGTCTCCAGCCATGACATCAGAGTTGGTTTACACTGTCGGGGGCTGGCAGTGGGCCAGGCACCTTGCAGTCTCCAGCCATGACGTCAGAGTTGGTTTACACTGTCGGGGGCTGGCAGTGGGCCAGGCACCTTGCAGTCTCCAGCCATGACGTCAGAGTTGGTTTACACTGTCGGGGGCTGGCAGTGGGCCAGGCACCTTGCAGTCTCCAGCCATGACGTCAGAGTTGGTTTACACTGTCGGGGGCTGGCAGTGGGCCAGGCACCTTGCAGTCTCCAGCCATGACGTCAGAGTTGGTTTACACTGGGTCTCCAGCGGAGGCTGGCAGTGGGCCAGGTACCTTGCAGTCTCCAGCCATGACATCAGAGTTGGTTTACACTGTCGGGGGCTGGCAGTGGGCCAGGCACCTTGCAGTCTCCAGCCATGAGGTCAGAGTTGGTTTACACTGTCGGGGGCTGGCAGTGGGCCAGGTACCTTGCAGTCTCCAGCCATGACGTCAGAGTTGGTTTACACTGTCGGGGGCTGGCAGTGGGCCAGGTACCTTGCAGTCTCCAGCCCATGCTCAGGGCCACTGGTCTGGTCCTGATCACCATCCTATGACTGCCGGCCTCCTACCAGACCTTGTTGTTCACTTAGGCTGTGAATAGTTATGTGAGCCATCCAGGCTCTCCTCACAGCTGAAATGTCAGACTAAAGACATTCATAAACCTATATTTAGCCACATTCTTTAATGAATATTCTTAATTCTGGTCGGAGGTTTCAAACTCAATCACCCCCTCTAATTATGAGAAGATGATTTGACATTTGCATCTTTGCAAAAGCAAAAAGTTATAGAAAAGTTCTTTTGCAGTCATTGTAGGTAGGCATCTTGAATTAATCATATGCAACTATAGTACCCAGCATTTATGTGAAGCATGAACCACAAATATATATATATATGTCTATGGTTTAGATATATTGATTCTGTCTTTACACAGCCAGCAGAACACAACACAGCGTTTGTATTCTATTTAGCAACAAGTCATTGTGTCAGATTGGGGGATTAGATCAGGGAGGGATGACACACCATCAGAAAAGGCACACATTGTGACCACCTGATACTCACTGTTCTGATGTTTTGACAAACATGGGAATCTGTTGTTTTAGGATGCCAACAGGAAACAAACATGAGCAACTGGGGACCTATTTTGCCCTGGAATCCCAGTGGGCAATAGTAGGGATCTATCATTTCTCAGGATCAGTTTCATGTACTGAGGATCTAATCTGCCTCGGAATGCCCATGACCTTTTCAACTCAGTAAAAGAAGAAAAACTGATTTATGTTTCTTTGCCTTGTTGACTTCACTGAATGAGAAGAAATGTAATCTTCATTTGTAACAAACTTCAGTGGTTTGGATAAAAGATATGTATGAGTAATAGAATTCTGAGCATTGAATATAAATATTTTCTGAAGCAAGCATATATTTTTGTAATCTTTGGAAATCAGAAAAGGTGAAGTAAATTTGAAGGATGTTTCCTCTTTTGTTTTAGTGTTTGGCATAATATCACAATCTATAAACTGAGCAAATAAGACTGACTTACTGTGAGTACTGGTAATATTTTGATGTTGGTGTAACCCAGTGCTGACCCATCTGTTAACACTGGCGGTTACACTTTACATGTAAACAGCATATCATTACAACTCTAGTTTTTATATTGGATTAATTAAACTTAAGATATAATGTTATTACACATTTCCAGTCTTAGGTTGTCTTCGTGATAATCCTGTTACAATAATTGTTGTTATAATGGTCAGTGTGTCTTATGTCCGCTGTCAGGGAGCATGACCTGTAGCAAGTGCCTTGTACAATAATGATGCTTAGTACTTCTTTTATTTCATACTTATTCTTTTCTCTTTTAGCATTTTGTTACATCATCAAACATACATCATTCCTTGTTTATTTTTCTAGCCATTTAACCACAGACTTTTGAAACAGTTCATGTGATGCTTCATATTTAAAGTATTTGAGATCTGGACGTTGGACAGGCAGAAAATCAATTGGTTTCCCTGAAGCTGATATCCCAGCCTTATTAATGATGGTGCTCAACTTTATTTTATATACACACCTAAATGAAGGTTAAGAGC